TTGCCCTGCACAGAATTGAATTGATGTCGTGAATCCAGAGAACTTACAAGTGAGCCTTGGGATCATGACCAAAATAATACTGCCTACTACATTCGATGGAATTAGACAACTAGAAACAAGAATGCATACAGTTATCCCCTAGGGTTGTGCTAAAAATAAATAAAATTGGACATAAAAGGGATTTTAAGACAAAATATGCTGTAGTCGAGCCTGAATTTTGGACAAAATGTTGTCACACAAATATATGCAAATCTTGTGAAAGAACTAATATCTATCAGCCAGACTGACATCAAATCATAATACAGAAGTACCATAAGAAATGGGAGAAGCATACTGTAGACCTTTCATGTTTATTAATAATACACTCCAAATTTGAGGGTTTGAGCATATATAGCCAACACATTAACACTACCACTGAATATTTGGTTCCGGAGGTCTTGGAATATTAATGGGTAATTATGGATTGCATAGAAATATTAGTGGTGTACTAACCACCTCAAAACTAGAACAAAAAGAGTGGAGTTTCTTAATATGGTATTTTTAGTCTTTGTAATTAAAACCCAAATAAGTCTTATATGAAAAACATTTGAGATTTAATTACTATACTATAGTACATATTGGTAAAACTAGAGCTCTGTAGAGCAATGCAATATCCTCAGCCCATTTGGACAATAAACAGCCACATGACCTTGTAATACATTCATACAAGGATACCTGTACTCTTCTTCAAATTAGTCTGGTCAGATGAAGTCATGGTATATTTTGAGGGGCTTTATTAAATCCTCACAAAATATCTTCATTACAACCAAAAGGTAACAAATGCATGACAAGCATAAAACTTACATACGAAGAAAAGTTCTAATGGTATCTATCAATCTTAAGATATCTAGCTAATGGAGGACAGAACTGATCAGTGTATGTTCACAGGAATTATATTATACTGAAAGTGGCTATTTACATGTGATCAGGTTTAAATTACTAATTAACCCAAGAGGTTTGTAATATATGGACAAAACAAAATAAGTACAGTACTGTAGGTCCACAACAAAATCTACATTTGGACAGAAAGGTAAAAGTTTTTTGATAAAGCCTTCAAAATTATTCTATTCTTACGCCATTTCTCAATAACTATACACCCCTTAACTTTCTCATAATGAATACCCAACTCAAGTTACATATGACCATGTCCCGTATAAACGACAAATGCAATATGAATAAAACTTTACTGTCAGATACTAAATATAATGCTAATAATGTGTGGCATGCAGTGTGCAACTTTCAAAAATTACCAGAAAATAGAATAACTGGAAAGAATTAACAATAACAGTACACACTCAGCTATACCATCAATATAATCTGCATTGTTATTCAAGCCATCACCCCCACATTCCTCAACCCGTTTTAATCCAATTTCTGAGACACCTTCACCTTTCCTCAAATGTCATATTTTAACTTGCAGCTTGGTAAGCAAACAATCGCTTTTTCTTCATTGGGCATCGAGACAGCTACATTCCGTTGTGGAAGCTTTCATATCTCGACATGTATCAATGGTCAAAATGAACAAAAAATTCTTCTGCTTTGCAAACTTCTAATTCCACACTTGAAAATCTTCATATTGTTCCTATATCAATGTAAAAAACATGAATGTTTTTGCCATTGTTATATTTCAATGAGTGCCAGTATGTAAATTATCACCCCAATGAACTGTCACATTTGTCAATCAGTTTTTTTTTGTAGCACACCATCTTGACAGTTGCATTACTTCAACGATGACTTCATCAACATGTTGATAGATAATATCCACTGCATTCCATCGAATAATTTTTGTAGACTGATCCTGCCTAGTATGAGTTGGCATTCACAATCATTGTGCAAGATGACAATACTCAAAACTATTGAGATCCACTAAAGAAAAAAATTATCACTGTAGCAGATGCTTCTGACACTGTCATGGCAGCAGGGTACTTTAGTCTCAGCATCCAGATTATATACGTACAACCACTTAAAGCAACTCTCTTAAGATAGACCAGTACATTCACAAGGAACGAATTAACTTGTAATAAAAAAAGGTACCATCATTAACACAGCTTAAGCAAAATCATTGAAAATAATAGTGTCAAAGATTTCTTTGTATTATTTAAGAATTTAAGGACATGTGGGTGACACAATAATTATTATTATTATAGTAATCTTAAAAGGCCACAACAATATATTTCAGGCTCTAAGTGTGGTAGACCAAGCAGGTTAATTAAAAAAAAAAGTGTCCACCATTAAGTAAAAATATACGGAATGTGCAGTACTTGACATTACAGGTTAACAAACATATGAACAAGACGATCAATGTCATCTACACCATATTATTCTTCACAAATAATGTGTTACCGATTCATGCAGGAAACCATGTTTAATGAAGTCAGCAATAAAAATTTAAATGCCACCTATTTTTCAGTAGAGAAAAATGCTTGACAACCAACATTAAAAAACTGAATGATATCCCAGATTTAATTTTTTTTACCCCATTTCCAAAACAGCAAAAGGGGTCCACACACCATTATTCCCCATTTGTGAACAGTTTAATATCTTTAAAGCCAAATCTTATTTTGCAATCTTTAGTTAATTCCAGACGATGTCCAAACACTATCATTGTACACACAAATAACTACCGTACTTATTCTCCACCCCTTTATTTGCAATGAAATGTTTCATCATTTGTTGGTTAAAAACAAATAATTTTGTTCAGTTTTGAGGCTGAAGAAAGACAATGCAACAACATTGTACAGTACTATTTTACACACAATGCTACATGGGATAACTGCGTATATATACAGTATATATTACTTTTTACCTTCAAAAATTCATTATTGTTGTTATACTCAGTTCTTCGTATACAGTACAGCACAAATAAAGTAAAACTTCAAATTAATGGACAAACAGAGGAGAGAACGGTCCTTTAAAGCTGGCAGTCTGATAAATCAATAGGTTCACTACGCTGTTTATATACAATCTTATATTTGATAACTTGTACATTGAGCATTGTTCAAGAGTAAAGTAAGCCCTGATTATTTGCATATTTTGTATTCGCGCCTTCAACAATTTGCAGGAGGCAAATTAATACAATACAGAATTTTAAATATCTGCTAACAGACAACGTGCCCACTCAAGCTGCCATCTATTGAGGGAGAAGGGAACTACGTTTTCATTAGCTGATTGACTGTCTACGTATTACATTCACTAAACATTTAAAAACTTATTTACAGTACTACAGGTACAGGAATACTTTAGACAAATGACCTATGAGGAAAGGAATAAAGTAAACAATCCTCTAGACACCACTTTCTCACCAATTCCATCATTTCAAAAACCTTTTAACAAATTATAACTTCTCGAGTCTATATATCCAAACCTGTAGATTGCAGTTATATTGTTCACATATCCTCAAGTATGAACAACTGTTTCCTAAACTACAGTTGTTCAGACTCAAGGTAACTTGTGTCACATTTGAGCAGCATAGCAGTGACCCTTGCAGCCTCTGTTAGTAGCTGGTGTGCCTGCTTGTGCTGCTATCTATTGGAGGCAGGGGAACTACACTTTTGTCAACTATCTTCCACTTGATAATTATTTATTAACCATCTAAAAACTTTTTCAATGAAACGTAGAGTATTTAATATACTGTATATTCGTGCCAGGAACTCTTATTTATTAGTGTACAGTACAATACTTGCACATATTCAACACGATGGTGTTTTATTTACTGCTCTACACGAGTAGTATCTGTTTCTGTGCTCTTTATTACAGATTAATCAACAAATGTAACTTGACCAGATAGGAACCAACCCCCTCCCCTTAGTACACCAAGTTATAGAATCTGGGAAGATTGCTTCGTTATCCAAATCACCATTACGCATAGCCTCTTAGGAAAAGAACCCACACGAATTAAGACGAACCAATGTATAATAAACTAAAGCTTACTGTCCTTTAAATTGAGGACACCCATGAGTAAATCAATATCTTAAACTTATCATGTAATAGATTCTAGTTTGTTTCAATGGTCATAAAAGCACCGACAGTATCTCATGAACCAAGCACTGACAGAACATGGAATATCGGCTGTACAAAAAAAGAAAAAAATATTATGTACTGTACATGTCACTGAAAAATATCTCCACAGGAGTGCGCACTGTATATCAGAACCATAAAACAAACTCAATAAGTTTACTGTTATGCTTATTAAGAATTAGTAGAATGGCAAAATATTTTAAATGTAAATGACTCCTTAGAACTGCATTCCAATATACGCCCACAATAAAACTCACTTGAACCCAACGATCAATTATGGCAATGTTCGACCAAATAGCACAAACCTCAGGTTTAAGTTTTATTGGCTATATCATACAAACATACAGGCATACATATGCTAAATAAATATCACAATATACTATTCATAAACTGTTCCACAGAACAAGTGGAAAACACTGGCAAAATATGTCAATATCCATTTAATATAAGTATCATTGTATTAACTATTGTGTAAACCAGTTGATAAACTTTGCAAAAGAGATCCTCCATAACTCTGCACAGTGGATCTGTGTAATTGATATTAAAACTTCACTGTGGAAAATTATAGTGGTATAGTGCTACAAGTTTACAAGAGCAACAAATGTCAGGGATTACCCAAAGTTAATCAAAACTACAAAGAATAAAAAATATGTATGTATATATATATATATATATATATATATATATATATATATATATATATATATATATATATATATATATATATATATATATATATATATATATATATATATATATATATATAAAGGATAGTTTCATACTATCCAATCCACTGCAACTGCAGAAACAGCACATTGCAACATTATCATGACAAAAGTAAGGTCAGCCTTACTCCTCAGAAGAATCCACTTTAAAAAATAGATAAATAGGTGTTACCCGGCAGGAGGTAAAGAAAGTTGCACAGATGGTCCCTTGTTACATACGTTCATCAGGTTTGATGGGTTGGATAACAGCAGGGCCGTTGATTCCTTGTTCTCCCTGTAACAAAACATATAACAATAAATAACCAAACTCACTCACAACAGTCTCAATATTTCTGCAACTAGGGGCCAAAACAATTGACAAATTTGAACAGGACCTGTGTGTGAAACATGTCTCCTTATCCACAAAACAAAATCCAAAATCAACCAGCCAGCTTAAAGAATCTAGTATGGATATCTGAGAATGCACTCCAAACAAGCAGTTACAGCAGTGGTTATTTAAGTCTACACAAGCTTAAAACTGATTTATGACTCCTAATCCCCACAAATTATTCAAAACTTTAAACTATGTCAATGCCCACATAGCCAGTCTTCACATATGTAAAGGAGCATTAAATTAAGTTTGGTCACTATCAATTAACCACAAGCATTTGCATACACAACACCTGGACAGATATACGCATGGGTAACCCAAACTCAGCACAGATTAAATAATCCAGATATGAAACCAGACAACAATTTCAATATATTCTCAAAGCCTTATTAAAGATACTGAACGACAAAGGATTTCATAGATGCACTAATACCCCTCCTATATTCTAAGTTATGGGCAGAGAGAAAAAAAAAAAAAAACAGCTACCAAGTATTGCTTTATATCTTGTAACACTTACCATGGTCTCTTCATCTGGGAAGGATCGATGGGCACCCTCGCAACGATTAAAGAGGAGTTCTTAGGGATAAGCGTTTTGTCATCCGTGTACACTGAAAATAATTAGTCACATAAATATAGGATATTCTTTTAAAACTAGAGCAGAATTTTACTTAAAGCAGGTATACAGTCTGGGTCACCACTAAGGAGGGAAAAAAAATTAATAAAGACCTTGATAATTCAGATTGGGTGGGGGAGGGGGGTTGTCCAGATTAGCCAATTGACTGGAATATTGGGTAATAAAACTAGCTGAAATATTTCTTGTAAGGTGGCACATAGTAATACTTTCCAATATAATTGGTATAATGTTGAACATTATAATGTACAAAATTGCATAATAAACATTTTCCTCTTATGAATATATTTGCCCATTAGTTTTGCATTATACAGTACTGTACAGTATAAGATGGATTCATGATTGAGATCAAGAACACTAAAAATCCCTCAGTAATGACATGGATGCAGCATTTTCATTCATAATTAATAATAATAAAAAAAAACTTTGTTGAATTGAGTTACATTAAGGTTTATAAGGGTTCATTCTGATGTCACAAAGTGAGGTGACAATACGCGGGGGCACTCGATAGTCACTGAAACATTGTACATACTGTACTAAACATCAGTGCAATAATACCACATATAATGTAAATAAATCTTCATTTATTGTATAAACAAAGATACAGTTGACTCACCTTCCTTAGTCTCTGCATTGGTTATCTGCAAATCATATGGTTGTCCACGTCCAAGTCTCTTCTGCTGAATAATTGCCTCTTTCAGGTCCTCCAAGCTGATATGTACACCATCCACCGGCAAGGTGTCATACTCCACCGCAGACTTAAATTTGTAGTGCACCGACATCCTATAACAAAGAAATAATCCAATTTAATGATACTGTACTGTAATACATCGTCTTAAGGAACAAACGGTATGAAGGTTTGTTCCTGAAAACCGGTTACTGAAAAAAACGTAATTAGCAGTTCCCTAATTCAAAATCACTCCTTCATAATATTTTGCTGTTATGAAATACAGTACTACAAAATTTGTAATATTTGATAAAATTTCGAATTATGACTTATGAATATGTACAGTCACCCACAAAAGTCCTGTTGCCTCTGAGCCATGAACCCCAAGATTATGACTCGTGAACCCGAAACAGTAGACACTGATGTTTAATTCTCCCCATAAAAGCTTGGCATTCACGAATTTGAATCTCGGGGTTCGTGGTTCAGGAGGAGAAGCGACAGGACTTTTGTGGGTGACTACAGTATGATGCACATGTAGCTGTGGGATGTAAATACCCGCCTCAGTATAAACAATTATTTACTTATAGGCGTGTCAGTTCACGTTGGTCAGTTGTGAGGTGCATGTATGTGGTCTACCGCACAAGCTTTTTTCACCATAACACTATAATTACCATACTATTTATGTCCATTTGGTGCTGGGTTAATAAACGATTATCATAAAATAATCATCCCCCCTCCCTCCCCCCCCCCAAATCCCACTCCACTCTAGATGAGTTATTGCATATTAAATTCTAGTGGCTTTGTTTACACAGTGCAAACAGCTGATCGATAGCACCGACCCTCACCATGTCATCATGCTTACCACAACACTTATCAAAGATCTCATGGAGTATTACTGTACAGGGTGGAATGCATATACAGTACCCATAATTACATTAATTCTCATGGGGAAAAATTCCTCATTATATAACATTTCACTTTAAGATGCATTTGTCTGGAACACATCCCGTACATGAAAACTTTAAAAAGTCATGCGCTTATACTCGAGAAAAGGTGCGAGGGTTAACAAGCAACATTTTCAATAGGAGAAAACGTCCTTTTAGCATGAAGGTCTCCCCCAAATGGTGGAAATAATTTCGTAAAAAAACGAAGAATAAAAATTTATTTGAGTGAGAGCAGGGGGGGGGAGGGGGGGTGTAGACACCAGCAGACATGCTGCACTGCTATGGTGATGCTCGAGGGCAGCCACACAAAGATGCCAATGTCTAAGCAAATGGTACCACTGGAGGCTGTGTTAAGCTTTTCTCTAATAGTTTTAGTGCATATTTTCATCTAGATATTATTTTATTAAAGTTGAAGGAAATTTTGGGGTATAAACAAACCAAAAATGACAAAACCAAATCTAATGAAATTGGTAAATGTGTATAGTATTACAGCAACCATGGAAGTTGAAGGAAAAAATGGTGGTTTTCTGGTGGGTTTTAATGCGCTTAATTCAAATCTGACCTTCGTTTTTATCGGAATCACTCGTTTGTGATTTACCCCCTCCCCCACATTAAAGTTCTATCGATTGTGTGTTCTGAAATTCCAGTACTCTGTGCTTCCTAACTTTTACCAAATAACCAAACTAAACCTCACCTAACAACCTAGCCAGGGGGCCCTGCCTCCGGTGATCCCTAGCAGGGGGGGGGGGGGCTTCACCCCCGGACCCCCAAACGTTATTAATAACCTTAGTCGCGTGGTCAGCCTCCGAGTCAGGGACCAGAATGCATCGTGGGTTCCTCTGTTTTCTAGTTTCCTATTTTTATAATGAAATAATATGATAAACTTTCAATAATCGAAATCGCACCCAGCACATTATGGCTTCAGGTTGCAAATGAGTAAAAATGTCCCACATCTTAGCACCCACGCCGAATATTGAACGCTAATGGGTTGAATCAAAAGTTGAGATTTTTTATTGGATTTGATTGGCTGCCGCCCACACCCTAGATTTGATTGGCTGCGGCCACCCCCCGCACATGCGCGGGAGGTAGGCGAATGTACGAACCCACAATTTGAGCAAAAGTGTTGGGACATCAGGTGCTCTAATTTAATTATTTTTTAAAATTCAATAACTTCCTTGTTGTCAATTGGCGACGGAAGTGTAATACAGTAGTATAAGAAAATGATCATAGAAAAAATAATTCTATCAATTGAGTGGAGTGAATTCTGTGGTTGCTATAAACTGCATAATTACCATGAAATCTAACCTATTACAGAAAACTTGACGGAAACAAACAAATGAATGCAAAGAAGCAAACCTGAAATCAATGACCGAAAAACTAAAAATATTAATTTCGGTAATGGTGGCCGAGACGGTTAGCACCCAAAGGGCTTGCCTCCGAGTCTCTCCACTTCAAGAAAAATAAGTACAGTATACAAACATCTGGTTTATTTAGAACACGATACTATTCAAGAGAATTGAATATGTAGCCAAACCCATAACAAGGGATGGCCAATTTTCACTAACGCACTGGTCTTTGTTTGGATATTAAAAATTTTTTTCCGATGTTATTCGATGAGTATCAAACGAATTTATATTCATTTCAGCCGGAAATCAATAGTTTTTGAGACCCCCCAATCAATCTTAACGAAAAAAAAAATAATTCGAGTAAAGCGCAAAAAATAATAATAAAAAACCTAACCCGACATAACCTAACACTATTTTTCTGATGAAACTCATTAATTGACGTAAAATATAATCTCTATCACAATGTCGGCACAGCTCTTTCCACCTGTTCAGCCATATCTGGTCGTTCTGGTACTGAAAAATCAAATCTTCGCTCCCAACGCATTGTTCATTGGCTAAGACAAAAAATCTTGTCCAATTATAGGTCTCCTATCGCTATAGCCAATAAGAAACTCCCACACCACCCCCCTGCACATGTGCTGTAGACGCTTAAGCAGCCAACACGGAGGTAAGGAACACTGCGTGATGGGTGGTCAGGCCTTCTCTGTGAGACGTAAACAACAAATGGCGACACTTGTGACTGACCAAATCTAATATTGAAAAAATAATATATCGGTTATCCATAACTTCCGGCAAGAATATCACAGAAGAAAAAGGTCTTAGAGTTGTCTAAACATTACGAAATACATATTAATAACAGCGAGAGAAAGACCGGTGTAGGACTGAAATTTCACTCAAGGAATTCGAATCTAGCTATATGAATCTCATCCTTTATACATAGAATAGGTTCAAGAACCAAGTGCATGATGAGAAAAAATAGGGGGAATTACACAAGCTATAAACGAGAAAATCAGATAAGTGAAACAGATGCTTTACAGTAATTATTTTATAAATGCTTCCTTCACATAGAGTGAGGAGCAAAATGATCGAGGTGTATTAATGGAAGTCAAGGCAACATTACAAAGATACTAAAACTATCCAACCAGGAGCAAACTCAAAACAATGGTTTTAAATTAGACAAATTTAGATTTAGTCGCGAAATAGGTAAACATTAGTTTGGAAATAAGAGTGGTGGATGAATGGAACAAGTTAACAAACATCATCATTAACTTGAATACGCTGGATAGCTTCAAACATAGGTTGGATGGATATATGAACGATAGGGGTTGGGTGCAAATGGGACTGCCCAGTAACTGAGTATGGGCCAATAGGCCCGTTGCAGTTTCCTCCATTCTTATGTTGTGGTACCAATGCGTCAATTTCATCACGCGCACAACTGGTTAACCTAACCTACTCATGCAAAGGTGCTTGGGTTTGTGGGGCATTAGTTGGTACCCCTAATTCCCATTTATTTACCTGGTCGCCCCCCAGAAGTCTTCCTCAATTTTTGCCCTGCTTACCGTCTGCTTAAGAACATAAGAATGGAGGAAACTGCAGCGGGCCAATAGGCAGTCCCATTTACACCCAACCCCTATGTTTGAAGCTATCCAGCGTATTCGAGTTAATGATGATGTTTGGTAACTCGTTCCACTCATCCACTATTCTATTTCCAAACCAGTGTTTACCTATTTCGCGACTAAATCTAAATTTGTCTAATTTAAAACCATTGTTACGAGTTCGCTTCACTTGCCTTAATTTCCGACGCACACACTATACAGTATATTTTGCTCTATTTTTCTTCCTAGATACACATCAATATAGTTCCGTAGGCGTCCTTTCCCGAATCTTCACCCATCACTGTTTTACGCAGATCCGTTACGTATTGGTAAACCTCTTACACCAGTTCTGGGGGTCCAACTAATTACCCAAATGTAGCCGCAATGAAGTCAAATGGTCCTACATGAACAAATCGGACTGCCAATCACTTCTCGACTAGTATTTGGTATCACAAAGTCAAAAAAAATTGGAAAACTTAATTTAATCTGAGTTAATAGATAGAGTGCATGTACCTAACCTAACACAACTCAGATTAAATTAAGTTTACCAATTTTTTGTGACTTTAAGACACCAAATAATAATCGAGAAGTGATTCACAGCCCGATTTACGCTTGTAGGACCATCATTTGACTTCATTGCGGCTACATTTGGGTAATTAGTCGGACCGCAGTTCTGGGGATTACCCTCCATGGCTCGACATTCCCCAGATGGTTATCATTATCGCATTTTATTCAGATTCCTGCTACATAAACTCCGTTAGAACACCCCCCACCAATACAGTACTAGGTGATATTATTCAAAATGATTCATATTACCTCCAAATGCAGCAAATTATGAAATAAAAGCCAACACAGCCTCTCCACGGCAACGCTCAACTTTCACCAATACTTAAATGTCAATTTCCCTGCATCAGTCCATTATATTACAAGTCAAATCTACTACTTATATAGTTCACATTACCTTACGGATCAGTTGTAGATAACTGGGTCACCACATAACTGTTTAAATGAAAACAAGATCACAGTTCCGTATACGACACAATATGGCTGCCAGGGACCAAGTGATGGCTGGCGTCAACAACAGTCCCCCGGCAACACTGCTTCCCATCCACTGTACTCAAATACTTATCTCTTATTAGAAACTCAACATTGAAACTTAATTTGGTGTTTGTTTAAGTAAAATCTATTTATATTTATTAATGATGAAATTATTTGTTTTTACGATTGTTAAGTTATAAATTACACCATATTTAGAGATATTTTGTGGGATGTGAAGGAGAGCGGGTCGGACTACGGGGTCCACAGGCGAGAGTCTTTTGAGATCATTATGTTGAAATAATACCACAAATAGAACCGTTTAATAATTTATTTTTCAGACGATACGAGCTTATCAAACCTTAAGTTATCATACATATTTAAGATTAATGATAATAGGCCATACTTGGTTTTGTAAATTTGTTAGTTCGCATCACCTGCTATCAAGCAAAGATAAAATGGTTCAGTTCGTGGTAGAAGTGCAACACTATATGTCCTACAAGGTTTAGGAAACAGTTTTATTGCCGAAATAAGTTCAATTCTTCATGTCTCGTAGTCACCTTCTGTACTAACCTTCAAGAGACGATTAGACAACCATTCATAGTTCAAAATGTGTACAGTTACAAAACTGTAGACATGTGTAGTTGAAATTATCATTACAAAGTTGTTAATTTATCATTTCACCACTTAACAGCTCACTAGCTGATTTTCATGTAGCCAATAAAAATAATTTCGAATGATTAGCTCAATTTAAATTATACCCTTATACAATATTATCTTTTCATCATGACAGGGCAAACTTTTTGGTAGTTGGGAACTCATGGAAAAATATGCCAGTGTTGTGACGGCACGAGTGTGAGCACAGAATTATGGCCACATACATTTATGGTTTTGGTTTTGGTTTTATCCTCTTCATCACTGATCGGCTCGTTAGCCGCTTGGGCGATCGATCAAGTCTCTGTTACGCACTGTTGGCAAGTACAGTACTGGGCAGGCACTGGTTACTCAATGTACACTCGCAACAAAAAGTATAGTGCATACTGTAGTATGAACAATTTGAGACCAGTGACGATAGGTATTGGAAAAGGCAAGTTGTCCCAGCCGTATGTTGGCAGCCCTGATTGTCAGCCATATGGCAACACCTAGTGGAGGGGGGGGGTATGAGGATACACTTACCAACCTTCCCGACATATCACAGTGTATACGTATCGTTTCGGAACTCGTCGATCTCACCCTGCACCGATACTTTTTGGTGCAAGTGTACCTGAACCTGTGCTTGTCAAGTCTGTGATCCCACCCAGTCAAGTACACTCACACATCTAATATACAGACAAGCGCACACACACGCACAGGAGTCGGCCTTCATGGTTCGCCACCCACAATCACACATACGCCCACGTAATGCACGCACCCTTCCTGCATATGGTTTTCATCATCAATAGGTCATACCGAACACACATACACACTCCTTCATTTTTATCTACCACCCACTCATATACCTGCTTCAATCGTGAGGTCATCATCCACACCTACACATTGCTGCTCATCTCTGGGTGGTCAGGGTTTACACACACACACAAACAGTCATACCACCTGTCAGGCTCCTCATAACACCATCTGTGAGGGAATTACTACATGACCACAGTGCATGTGATCTACGTGACCTCCACTGTAAACATTAATCTGTATCTTCATTGTATATTCCTTTTCCTTTCTCTAACGAAAGCTTTTTGTTAAACACTTCCCTGCCCATGTCTTTGTATGTAATAAGTTGTAGTGGACGTCTCCCCTACAACTGCTATCCGCATTCCGATGCGCCGCCGTATCCTAGCAACCAAGCGAGCGACGACAGCAGATGGTACGGTAACTTAGCAACGAAACTAGTGACCGGCGACTTTCTCGGGTTTTCCCAACATGACTCATAGAGGACTCGCGGCTGCTGGGTATATAAGCTCTGTCTCTCCATTGAGATTCATTCTGCCCATCTTCCTGAACAAGCAACACCTCCTCCAGCAAGCTCCACGCTGTCAGCCTTCATTCAACCAGGAGGCCAGCAACAGGCAACATCTTCTCTAACGAAGCTCCTGCACATCTACCTCCTACAACAGGCTACTCACCGAACGTCTCTACTGAGCAGCTCCTCACCACACGGCACCTCCAGCACCAGACTGTCTATCATATAACTTATATTATACGAGAAAACCACCTTAGAGTTTCCATCCATCCTGAGTGCTAGACAACATTATACCACGAATACCTACAAATGGTGACTCCCGGAGATTAGCACTCACACAGGATGGAGGAGACACTGATCACGCTCCCAGTCTTCAAGCAGCATAGAAGAATGGCTTATCCACACAGAAGCAGCCCTGCTACTCTAAGCAGACACCAGCTCCTCTTCCTGCCCCAAGCACCACATCCTACCGACCCCAGCACACCCGTCCTGCCTCAGACGCCGACCCCGGCCCAGCAGTAACCCCTGACGCGGCCTCTGTTCCTGAATCCGGACCCACACACACACCCTGTTTTCTCCCTCAGGTACTCCCTGCTAATGTCCTGCACCCTGCTGCTGTCGTGGACCCAGCTGCTGTCACGAGCCCTAATCCGCTTCTGCTGACGCACTCCCTGCTCCTGACCCAGGCCCACACACACACCCCAGCAGGCGCATCTGACAACCCTGTACCTGTCGTGAGGGAAGCACAACATTCATCGCCTCCACACACCCTCTTTTCTCCCTCAGGTACTCCCTGCTAATGTCCTGCAACCTGCTCCTGTCATAGACCCTCCTCCTGTCATAGAACCTGAACCTGTAATAGACCTCCCTTCTATCATAGAACCTGCTCCTGTCATAGACCCTCCTCCTGTCATAGAACCTGAACCTGTAATAGACCTCCCTTCTATCATAGAACCTGCTCCTGCCATGGACCCTCCTCCTGATGCAGCCCCTGCAGCAGCAGGAGCACAACCCACCATTGCTTGTACAACCTCCTCTAATCCCAAACCCTCTTTCTCCTCCTAATTCTCCCACAGGTTTTGTGTCACTAGACGGAGTTGTTACACGTAGCGGTCGAGTCGTACATACACCTGCCTGGTATGTGTTATGTGTGGGACACAACCCGGACAACATCCAGCCTCCCGCCGCGCCGGGAGGGGAGGGGGAGTATTGTAGTGGACGTCTCCCCTACAACTGCTATCCGCATTCCGATGCGCCGCCGTATCCTAGCAACCAAGCGAGCGACGACAGCAGATGGTACGGTAACTTAGCAACGAAACTAGTGACCGGCGACTTTCTCGGGTTTTCCCAACATGACTCATAGAGGACTCGCGGCTGCTGGGTATATAAGCTCTGTCTCTCCATTGAGATTCATTCTGCCCATCTTCCTGAACAAGCAACACCTCCTCCAGCAAGCTCCACGCTGTCAGCATTCATTCAACCAGGAGGCCAGCAACAGGCAACATCTTCTCTAACAAAGCTCCTGCACATCTACCTCCTACAACAGGCTACTCACCGAACGTCTCTACTGAGCAGCTCCTCACCACACGGCACCTCCAGCACCAGACTGTCTATCATATAACTTATATTATACGAGAAAACCACCTTAGAGTTTCCATCCATCCTGAGTGCTAGACAACATTATACCACGAATACCTACAAAGTCATTTATGTTCATTGTATAGTTTCAACCTTCGGGCTGCCGAACTTTTTCAATAAACCATTAATTATTATTATTATTACACACACACACACACACACATAATCAATCAGAGGAGAAACCTATGCAGTTTGCAAAATCAGCATTTATTTCTGTTAACAGAATCTGACAAAACCTGATTTAGATTTTTACCAGTTGCTGATATAAATTGCATTTATTTTCCAAGATATCTCTCACTGCAGAGGATTTATTTTTTCAACTGGAAAACCCTTACCTGGTCTGGTGAAGGGTATCCAAAGTCAAGAGCAACACACTTTCCCCTTGCTTACTGTTACTGATCGCCCGGGCGGCTAGCGAGCCGATCTTTTGGTGAAGACGATAAATGAAAAGGAAAAGTAATCAGAGACGTGACCGATCGCCCAAGCGGCTAACGAGCCGATCAGTGGCGAAGAGGATAAAAGTTAAAGTAAAGTAAAGTATTATCAACATTGTTGCTGATACTATAAATTTTTAATCAATAATTCTATTTTTGTTAGTTACTGGGACAGTCGCTCAAAAAAGTATCTGAAAAGTGGGGTTTGATGGATGTCAAAACAAAAGATACAACCCAGTTGTCTGGGCACTGTTGCCTGGTCCTCTACCATTTCCCCAAAACATACTTCCTATGAGTCATATTGTCATGAACAATATTTTTTAAGCGACTGTACATTTATTTTTTTTTGTGAAATGGGACATTAATCATAACAAGTATCAACCATCATAAAATCAAATTTCTCCTAATTAATTTTCAGTTCAAATTATTATTATTTGGAGAGGGTGTCAATGTAAATGTTGACTATTGTGATGATGTACAGAAACAAATGAAATTGTTAAGTGCAACACTATTATTATGGCATTTTAACAACATTAAAATTAATTTCTTCAACAAGGTAGTTCTCACTTGTGCAAAGTTAAAGTGAAAAACCTAAGATAATTATGAAAAAAAGTAAGGGAGATAGCCATAGCCACATACTGTACAGTATTGTTAAACTTGGGGAGTCATCAGGAACCTTTCACTAATGGCAGGTTGAACTGCCCAGAGTGGTCAGGCCGTGGGCCAGAGCCAGAGTGATAACTGAGAAGTGCTGATATGAGGGAAAAATATAATTAAATGTTCTCATAATATTTTTTATATGTTTAATATAGATTTGGAATACAGAATGTAGAATTAGATGTGTTTTGGACTTTTGGCACATCATGTAAATAGCTACAGTAGGTGTAGTATTTAAGTTTAACTGTACAGTAACTGTGAACTTGCAAAGGTAAAACCAAAAGATGAGGAAATTCAGTGATGTAGTCGAGATTGAGAACAAAACCTTTCACACATTTAGCCTTTATGGACAGGAGCTGCTATGCACAGGCCAACCGGCCAATTGCAGACTCCTTATTTTATGTTCTTAACATGAGCCCCCTAAGTGTTCACCTGAAGACTTGCCCACCAGATTAACCAACTTGAAGTTTAACCAATCAGAAACTATCTGGGAGGCTAATTTTCAGGAGATCCATAAAGGCTAAAATTACAAAAGGTCTCATTTTTTGTCAAAGCTTCAATTATATTACTGAGAGAATTATTCAAAAACATCTGTCCACATAAACCCATGAATATTCTCAGTTATTTATGTCTGCTTAACTAGACCCTGAAACAAGTGGAAATTAAATGAGTCAATACAGTACAGTACGTGATAAGGGATGCCATCACTGATACTACAGTATTCTACAGTTTAGTGTGTGTACCATATTTAAAAAATTCTGGTGAGGCTCTAAGCAATTAATAGTTGCTTTGGTTAAATATACAGTATATACAGTACAGTGTACTGTATATATAACTTAATGTATAGTTCTGGCTACCTTTATGGTTCATCATCACTTTCAATATACAGTACTGTACAGTACTGTACTTTAAATTAAAAATATAAGAAACTATTTACAATATAGGATACTGTATATTATTTAGATGTTTATGACTATCTTATGGAGGACTATTCCATTTAATATTAATGTACACTAATTGTCTCTTACCTGAGACAGCACTAATTCTTATCGTGATACTTGGTGTTGATTTTGAAGATCTTAACATACCCGTATAAAGTATTCTTCATAAAGAAAAGAAAATGACCATCTTTACTTTATCTTCTAAACCACTGATAGGTTCATTAGCCTCTTGAGCAATTGGTCACATCTCTGTTATGACCAATTGGCAAGTACTGGTTCCAGAATGTCTCTGTACCTGCGCCAGTGTTGTTCAAGTCTGGTCATGAATGAGCTCACACTTGGTGCCGTCACAATGTTCTCTGGCAGATTGTTCCAGGAGTTCACAACTTTCACTCCAAAAAAGTTTACCCTCCTTTGGATGTTTTCAATTAATTGGCAGTTTCTAGCATATCTCAGGGAGCAGATGGTTGGACAGTAGAGTACAGTACTGTACTCCAACTGGAGAAGCACCTCGGAGCATTATGAAGGACAGACTACTTAGGTATCTGAATGCCCTTATTATAAGACCTACTATGGTCCAAAAATCAAGTTTGTTGTTAACATACACATCCAGGTCCTTTTCACATTTGGATTCTGTTAATGCAATTTCTTCATCCCAATGGGACATGTGATATGTCTCCTAACAACTGTTGGTACCACCTAGGTGCATCCTCTTGCAATCTGTGACATTAAATCTTAACAGCTATTCCTTTGACCAGTTCTGAAGATGACTGAGATCTTTCTGTAACTTTTAAACAGGCTGTGTGGTTCTTAATTTACCTGAATAACTTGGCATCGTCCACAAACATTTGTATGGGGGAATGTACAGTATACCTTCTGGCATGACATTTATAAAACAAACAAAGAACAATGGGCCCAGTGTGCTACCGAGATATCCCCTTTATCGCGGGTACGCATGACAATATCATGCCATTAATTCCCATACACTACAGGTACTTGCGGTCAAGAAAAAAGTGTCTGATCCTCACAAGGATTTGTATACAGTGGTAATACATTATATTTAATTTCTCTTGAAGTTTGGTCACTACAGTTTTACATTTACTTAGAAAGTAATTTATAAATGAACAGTAGGCCTTTTTAAGAGCTTCCGTCCTTGTAACTGATGCCTCTTTAATTCTTTGACAGGAAATGCTGAAAAAAAAATTATATATATTTTTATCTATTCTAACAGCAAAAAATAAGTAAATACCTGTAATAAAATTCTAATATTCTCAATTAAAAAAGTTTAAGTGTACAGTGCTGTAATTAAAAGACGTTCGTATTACATGTCACAGTCAATTACATTCCAGTTCAACTGAAAGATCTCATAAGTTTATGGTGAAAATGAACGGACGTTCTTAGATCACAATGAGAAAAAGGTGAACCTTGCTAACAAAATACTAGTATTAATAGAAAGGTTTCATGCATATTTAGATAGTCTATCTCTCAAAAGGCTTTTCAAAAGTATAATGCTGCCTCTTTTGAAGCATTACATTTCTGTTCAGTCTCTGAGATAATCTAAACTTTAGCATATCTCAGAGACCAACCAGCTAAAGAATGTCAAGTGACTAAAATGTCCAAAGGAGATATTACTGAACTGTGTGGGGACTCAGACACCTCACTAGAATGTTTACAATTAACAAGCACACTACTGTATATGCTGTACAGTACTATGGAATAACAAAGGGCACTTTAATACATTACTCTAAAGTTACCTGATGGCCACAACACTCAAGATCACAGTCTTAAGTTGAATAAATTATCAGTGTCTGTACAGAAAACTCTCATAACAAAGTTATCTGAAGTATACTTAAGTCCTCACTTAACGACGTTACCCCGATAACGTTGTTTCGTTGTAACGTTGCTATTCTTTAGATACCCATGATTAGGATAATGTCCCGCCGATTCAGTATAACGTCATCATGAACTACTTTGTACCGCACATCTCATCTTGATGCATTACGCTCTCGCCCGTGGAGTGTCACGGCATCCCCAGTCTTTGTTAGGCTACCACAGCGTTCGTGTGTGTTTAAGTGTTTTTGCTCTTAAAACTGTAATGTAACCATTCAAAATGGCTTCCAAGCGCCCATCAAGTGCTACTGATGCTCGAGTTGTGAAGAAGCAACGTAAGACCATTAGCCTTGCTAAGAAAATGGAGGTTTTAAACCGTTTTGAGAAAGGTGAGGAGGAGCCACCCACCAGGTCTCAGTGACTCGCCTCCCTCCTCCTCCTCTCCCGCCTTCCTCCTCCGCTCCACTGCCCACCAAACACCTTCATCCGTCAGTGAGTACAATACAAAATGATTAACGAAATTTCAGTTAACGAATTACCTTCCATAAGAATCTTCATTTCGGTTAACGAAATTCTTACGAAAATGTTTCGACATGCTTTGGCTTGCTCACCAGCTGGAAGATTAGTCTGCCAATACAGAAATCGGTTCTAGGGCTTACATTCGTTAAGATTGGAGTAAATATCAAGAAGATTGTACTATTCAATAATTTTCCAAGCTTTATATTAAAATTTTTAGTCATTATAACACTTATTTAACATAATTGCAGTACAGGGAACTAGTTTTTGGTGCACCCCATCAGCCACTTCACTCACCCACCAAGGCGTCAGTTTGTGTCTATTCAGTGGAGGAAACATCTTGCTTGCGGGTCTCTTGAGCACAGAGTATTTTTACATTTTTATAGTACAATTATTAGTCATTCTGAAATCTATTTAACATATTGACAATATATAGTGCAGTGCAGTGTTGATTTAAAGAAAATAATCTTGAATTACACCTAGTGAACTTAAAATGTTATGGGTAAAATGACGGCATCAAGCATGGGGTGATTTCTCTTCCAACCCCACTTCCTTCTCTTCTCCCTTCTCCTCCACCCCCACTTCTAATTCCCAGCATCAAAATCATCAACGAGGAGCCTTCTACATACACACCTCAAAGTAAGTGTACTTTACAGCATTTTTTTTTACTTTGTACGGTATGTAATTTTCAGTGAGCTGGAACCAGTTACCCAAAATCCCATTGAAACAATGGTTTCGGTTAACGAAATTTTCGATTAACGAACAACCTTCTGGAATGAATTGTGTTCGTTAACCGAGGGACCACTGTGTATATACAGTCGACCCTTGTTAATTCGGACCCCTTTAATCCGGATTTCGGATAATTCGGACAAAATCTGAACAAACTTCTTGTTTTTTTTTTTTTTTTTAAGATTTGTAGGAATATTACCTACGCGGACCTTAAGCTAAAATGCTGGTCCACCCACTGCTGGGATAAAACACCAGCGTCTTTTTGGTCAAATGTAACATCTCCACCACTAGTGTGGGGGGGATGCAACTTTTAGCTTCAGACATGAAAAATATTTACCATTTACTGCCAGTAAACAATGGAAACGTAAAATTTGTACCAATTAGTAATGAAAAGTTGTGCAGTTCCTTCGGCAAATGAAGCTCACCAACTTACAATAGGCTAAATTACCTTACAACGTGTTTTCAGTAGTCTATGTTGAAGTTCTTAGCACAGGCTAACTTATCATATCATATACAGTATCACAGTTCTCATTGATCTACAAAAAATACCGGTAATAAAAACCTTTTTGATATTTCACACTTAATATAATACCCGGTAATCTACTTCAACCTCCTATTGTTTACAACAACACATGACGCACCACCAGCTGTTGAGTATCAGCTACACGGTACACGTGTTTTTCGAATCGTTTTCAGTTAAAAAACTGTTACATCACATGTATATTTTACCTTAACTGTGCCTGAATGAATATATTCTCGGAAACAAATAGTAGTTTTGCTGAAACGTGATGTATTTTAATGTAAAATAGGATAAAATACATGACGAAAACAAAAGACTTTACCTAACCTTCCGATGTTCTAGAGAAGTTACTCGTTTTTTTAATAGTTTTTGGTTAAAATACTGTTATATTACAATGGTATTCTATTCATACTGTGCTTGATATAATGCATTCACGGAAATGTAATATTTTTGCTGAAATGACGTACGTTTTACAGTGGAAAGTGGGATAAAATCGTGACGAAAACAATGACTTTGAAATACAGTGGCCCCTCGGTTAACGAACTCAATCCGTTCCAGAAGGTCGTTCGTTAACCGAAACGTTCGTTAACCGAAACCATTGTTTCAATGGGTTTTTGGGTACTGTAATTGGTTCCAGCTCACCGAAAATTTCCTAAATTCAACAAAAATGGTAGAAAAGTTCACTTACTTTGAGGTGTGTATGTAGAAGGCTCCTGGATGATGATGATGATGATGGGATTTAGAATGGGGGTGGAGGAGAAGGAAGAAGAGAAGGCATTGGGGTGGAAGAGAAGTCACCCCATGGTGCCATTTCACCCATAAAATTTTAGCTCTCTGGTTTAATTCAAGATTATTTTCTTTAAATCAATGCTGCACTGCATTATATATTGTCAATATATAAAATATATTTCAAAATGACCAATAATTTGCTTGGAAACACAGAAAAAAAGCATTTAGTTGAAGAGAGTCTCAAGCAAGATGTTACCTCCAGTGAAAACAGAGAGAGACTGACGCCTGTTTGCTGTGTTAAGAGGCTGGATGCAGCGCATTAAACTAGTCACTTTACCTTCAATTTCGTTCAATAATTGTTAAAATGACTAAAAAATTGAATATTAAACTTTTAAAATTATTGAATAGTATAAACTTCTTGATATTTACAAAAATAGTAAGGAATTTAAGCCCTAGAACCGATTAATGTATTGGCGGACTGATACTAAAGCTGGTTGCCCGGTCAGTGCAAGCGAAAACATGTTGAGGTCGGTTCGTAAGAAGTTCGTTAAGCGAATTTTTTTTCGTTAACCGAATTGAAGATCCTTATGGAAGGCAGTTCGTTAATCGAAATTACGTTAACCGAGGTGTTCGTTAAACGAGGGGTCACTGTATAATGCAATATTAACCCCTAAATCGGTTAATTCGGACAATCGGCTAAAACGGACACCCTTCCCCCCGTATTAGTCCGAATTAACGAGGGTCGACTGTATATACAGTGATCCCTCGGATAACGAACGCCTCAGTTAACGAAATTTCGGTTAACGAATTACCTTCCATAAGTTTCTTCACTTCGGTTAACGAAAAAATTTTGGTTTACGAATTCCTTACGAATTTTTCCCAACATGTTTTCGCCTGCATTTGGCTGCTCACCAGCTGTAGTATTAGTCTGCCAATACAGTAATCGGTTTTAGGGCTTAAATTCGTTACCATTTTAGTAAATATCAAGAAGGTTGTACTATTCAATAATTTTAAAAGTTTTATATTAAAATTTTTAGTCATTTTAACAATTATTGAACATAATTGAAGTACAGGAAACTATTTTTTTGCGCACCAAACAGCCACTCAACACACCAAGCTTGGCATCAGTTTGTTTATCGGTTCAGAGGAAGGAACATCTTGTTCGAGACTCTTCAACATAAACGCTTTTTTTCTGTGTTTCCAGTCAAATTAATGGTCATTTTGAAATATATTTGTGTTGATTTAAAGAAAATAATCTTGAATTACACCAATTGAACTAAAATTTTATGGGTGAAATGGCACCATGGGGTGACTTCTCTTCCACCCCAATGCCTTCTCTTCTCCCTTCTCCTCCACCCCCATTCTAATTCCCATCATCATCATCATCCAGGAGCCTTCATCATACACACCTCAAAGTATATGTACTTTCCTACCTTTTTTGTTGAATTTAGGCAATTTTCGGTGAGCTGGAACCAATTACCCAAAAACCCATTGAAACAATGGTCTCGGTTAACGAATTTTTCGGTTAACGAGCAACCTTCTAGAACGAATTGTGCTCGTTAAATGAGGGACCACTGTGTGTGTGTGTATATATATATATATATATATATATATATATATATATATATATATATATATATATATATATATATATATATATATATATATACTATATATATTATATATAATTTGGCCCTGCTCTGTGATTTAGCATACACGGATTGCCCCGCCGGAGGAATATTCTGTACATTGAAGTAATTGAAGTACATTCAAATCGCGCGCCATTCAATTCGCACGCGGCACCGAACACGGGACACCGCCCGCTCCCGCAACCTCACACACACACGCATAGCTCTCCCTCACTCAGTCAGTCTCGCTGTAACCACGCTTGTGTTGACATCAGCATTGTAGTTGCAAAAATATTACATTTCCGTGAATGTATTATATCAAGTACAGTATGAATAGAATATCACTGATATAAGAGTATTTTAACTGAAAACTACTAAAAGACGAATAACATATCTTGAACATCGGAAGGTTAGGTATAGTCTTTTGTTTTCATGTAGTTTATCCTAATTTACATTGAAATGCATTACGTTTCAGCAAAACTACTATTTATTTCTGAAAATATGGAAATGTAATATTTTGCTGAAATGACGTACGTATTACAGTGGAAAGTGACGAAAGCAATGACTTTCGCTTTCTTTCGTTCAAAAGATGTTACCGTAATCGCTTTTCGAATGGTTTTCAGTTAAAAAACTGTTGTATTACAATAATATTCTATCATATATATATATATATATATATATATATATATATATATATATATATATATATATATATATATATATATATATATATATATATATATATATATATATATATATATATATATATATATATATATATATATATATATATATATATACATATATACTATTTTCTATAAAAATGCCATTGAATTTCTGTATATGAAATGTATTTTATGGGGCAAAGTTTGACTGGGGAACGTAACTCCCGTATTTTATCTATTTCTTATGGGGAAAATTGATTCTGTTAAAGTTGTTTCCGTTAACGTCGCGGTTTTCAGGAACGGAACCACGATGGTAAGTGAGGACTTGCTGTACGAGTTATGAATTCTTAAGAGACAGCTTCAACTGTGAGGTCCTATAAGTACAAGCTTGACAAACACTGGAACATGTTCAGATATTTCAAGAGTCCAACCACCTAGTAAGATGACAAGTAACAAAGAGGGTAATGGAAGATACAATAATCATTTGAATACAACGTAATAAGGCTTGCAGGCATATTCAGCAAAACGGAGGGATCTGGCAGTGAAGTGGGTATGATCATGAAATCCACTTCATCTTTGGAAACTATTTGCCAGAGTTAGATTTAAACGGGAATAGGTTCCAGTCCTTCATCATTCTATCTTTTGCATATGCCCCCCCTCCAAAAAAAAAGGATATCATAAACATTAATAATTATATATGACACATCATAAAATACAATAGCGCACATTTTATATACAACAAATATCTCTGGGTGATCCTGCTAATGAGCCACACAGTTTCAGCCAGCCAGCTAACTCACACGTGTGGGGCTGCTGCTCTATGCTGTGTGTATTCCATAACATCACACTGGGCACCAGGGGAGGGAGCGCAGTACTGACTGGACATTCCACTGCCTCCACACATACGCTCACTTCCCGCACATACACACCCAAGCTCTTAATTTTTCTTATTTTATAGTTTTATATTATATTTAATTTATTTCTAAGTCAAATTCGAGTAATGAAATTATTTTTCAATACCTTTTATAGTTTCACTACATGTATCAATGGCAACGTGCATAGCCATCTGACTGTTGACTGATTATTTGTTATGGGGAGTTCAATTATTACTCATAATGGTTATTTCACATGATATTCAATGCTTTTCACACTATTCATACATCATTCTCGGGTACTGAGTGATTATGCATTGGAATTGGCAAAAATGCAAAGATGCCTGAAGAGGCCACAAACCTAACCATAACATTCCCAACCATCCAAATGTACTGTACACATCTTGTAATTTTGCACAAGCTGTACTGTACTGTACAGTATATATATACAGTACTTAAAGGATATTAACAAAATAACTACCATAATAAAACTTCCTAGTTTCCCGGATTTAGTACACTACTCACTTTAGGCATGATGGTACAGTAGTAGTATGCTTACCTGGCATCATTACAAACCAGATTCAATTTCCACTTAAGTAAGATGTCAGAAGATGATTAATTTCTCAACAACTATACAGCTGGCATCAATCTGAAATCTCTCCTAATTTATATTCACCTTTTCCCAAACACAAAAAAGGAATTGTAAGCCTCATTCCAATTGCTTTTATTATCTATTTTCCCATTCCTTTCTACTGCATGTTGTTGCTATAGAGAAGCTTACTTTTTCCAAAGTTCATAATGATTATCTCACCTTTTGGAGTATCACCATTCATTCTGCATTTAAACTGTTTTATATCTTACAACACAATACTCATATATACCACCTGCTCTATATGTAAATACACTACCGTACATCAGTTTTTGGGGGGTGATAAAATATGAGTTTTTAGAGTAGAAGACAGTGAAATATTTGGGGCTTTGTTGTTGGTGGATGATACCAAAACACATCTGTTTCATTCTCACAAAGTGAATAAATGACAACGAATGAAAGTAGAGACTGTGTTTGTTCTTGATTCTGCACCAGAGAGAGGCCTAAATATTGTTGAGAGAGAAAACAAAAAAAGAGTAAATCTGGAAATGCTAACCAGGATTCAGAAGTGTTATTTTAGGCGTGGCTGTGAGCTTCAAACTCGCTGATCTGATTTCACTGCTACTCCTTTTTGTCCTCAAGTTGGTATGATGTGGTGAACCACTCCGACCTGAATCCTCAGAAGGGAGAGATGACATGGATAAATGGTGACTGGCAGACTTCCATGATGCTGCACCAGGAGATATACTTCTTGGTCGACTGGAGCTACTGCTTCGAGAAGATTGTAAGGTGCCAATGCTTGACCTGAAGGCAGGATTATAAACATGATGACTCCACACAAAAACCGAGAAATAAAGAAAAGGTTTTGGCTAGGATGTGGACTGAGGACACATTAACTATAAAAAAAAAGTGAATATGAAATTTTTCATGCATTCTAGTTAATTTTACAAAGGAATTACCGGTATCTCTATTTTTTATTTGTCCTTCTAGTGAATTAATGTACAGTACATGACAGTATATGAAATGATAATAACACACATTGTAACGACCACGGTCGTACACTTCAGTTAACGCCAAAATCAAATGATTCATATTACGCTCAATAGCCCACAAAACATGTACCTCTGCTTTTAGTTTGAGTCCTCCATCTGAGGAGTCCGTTTTCTCATCACTTCAAGACGCCTCAGTCCCCTGTTATCCCATTTTCTCTGACTTACTGAAACCAACCTCTCTATAAAATGAATTTGAATGTGAGAGAGAACACCCTGGTTTAGAGTCAGCTTAGATATGTCGGCTTACAGTTGAAACATTCAAGATCCATTGTGAGTGGAGTTGAACGCTTCAACTGTCCTTATTGTTGGTAAGACGTGTCAAGTAAGTGAGTGTTGAGTCTGCCAGGACAAACGATACCCATCGATTTCGTTTCCTAAGAATATCCATGAGTTTCTGATCGCGCCTGAAGTTAGATCATTTTGTCGCCCCGACATCAGAGAATCTGATGTTTATAGTTTAATTAGTGTCAGTTATCTATTTAAGAAAGTCATTAATTTCCTGAACTATTCTGTCAACTGGTATAATCTTCAAGATCTAACGTCTCCCTGTGAATAGTTCCTTGTTCGCTGCAGGCCTGAGCTTGCAGAATTGTTGTTATCAACGTGTATATTCCACCTTTTCCTGGCAAGCTCAACCTCTGATTAGATTATATGAATAGACATAGGAAATTACCCTGATCCGGAACACCGGAGTTCATAATTAAATATACGGTGATCCAACATGGTAGAGAAGGTATGTTGTTGGTAAGATTGACCTTTCTGGCATGAATGTGGAGGCCCAAGCTGCCCAGCGGGGGCACGTATTTACCTCTACACGAGGAAGGATCACGCATTCGTGACTCTTCTTCCACGTCTACAGGTATGTTCACGTGTGTTCCACGCCGCCATATTAACTCAGTTTAACTTAGTCATTTTTGCGAATATCAGTGTTCATGTTTCCACATAGTACCTTCAGTGCCAATTAAGTCAAGTAAAGTAGAGCTCTAGCTATCGTCTGAACCAGTGCCAGACGTATGTTTTGTATAGTGAAGTTAAATATTCACGCATTCGTGACTCTTCTTCCACGTCTACAGCCACTCTCCTGAGGGTCGATAACTACCTATGGGCACCATGGTTCTTGAAGACTGTCTCTAAGGGCGCATTTAGAATCCCAGGACACGATTCCCCGGGAAGCGCCCTCACCACTCTGCCTGCCAGTGTGTAACGAGTCAACCTCCCTGAGTGCACCTAGCGAGCGAGCCTTCAGCTTGGCGGTCGCTGTAAACAACTCTGGCCCACTGACTCGGTTATATGATCATGGTCTACCTACTGTTCTTGGTTATATGTATGGAGCCATATTAATATCCATACTTAGGGATGACTAGCAGAAATATAGTCATCCCAGGTTAAGTATTGAACCACTGAATGAGAGTTCAAGGTACCAGGTTGTTCCTTGCAAACTAACAGGAGGTATTGTATGTTACTATAATTGTGGAGTTAGTCCAATGTGTTATGTATTCATCTGTAGTAATCATGAACGAATAACCTGAGAGTATGATGGTCTAACCACGAATTGAGAAGATAATTTGTTCCTTGTTAAAGTAAGACCTGCGGGTCCAGGGTTATTGACAGTGTGTAAGCATTTCTAAATCTTACTTGTCACAGAAATACTACAACAGTATCCAATAAAGTAATGAATATTTGGAGGTGTTTAATGAGGTAATAAGTTCTTGAAGTGTTTGATGACTTAATAAGTTAATTTCGGTTCTGTTTAGCCTGAGTGACTCTAAGATGCATCTTCTCCACTCACTGTATTAATAAATATTGAGTTAGTAATCTGAGTATCACCACTCTACTCCTTCTAAACATTGGTTCCCAGAAAATAATACTTACTCACGTGCCTATACATCTACCACACTACCCAAAACCCTTCCATGAGTTCTGTTATATAATGAAAAGTCTGGGTGGTGGCAGCTACCCCTTGTAAGTATAAAAAGTGTTATACAAAGAATAACATGGTTCCCCAGACTAACCCATGTATAAGAAAGACATAAAACAAAGTATACTTCAGAAAGGTAAGAACATTGAAACTGAGAATACAATCTATATGAAAGGAAATGAAAAGAAAGAACCTTGACTTGGAAAACATAAGTAGAGAAGCATAAGAGTTACTTATATAAGAATATATAAGAATATAAGGTATATAGAGGTAAAGAACATATAAGAATATAAGTAAGAACATATAAGAATAAATATATATGTAAAGAATGGAAGGAGAATAAGTATATTAAACAGGGTACTCATTGGAGGAATGCTACACAGAACAAATAAGTATATGAGTAAATAGAATACTAACAGAAAACAGTAGCTGGATGGTAAATTATTGAAAAGAGAAAACTCGGCCCGTCACAACATTAGAGTGAATGCCTACTATGATGTCGAAGGAGACCTAAGAGTCATAAACAGGCATTGTGAATTCATTAAAGTGACTTTGATACAAAGCACAAATCAGCTTTCATATTATTAGAGTACTGTACAGTTCAGTACAATACAGTACAGTATAATGATATACATAACTACCTGGAGCCAAATGATTCCCTCTTGGTTAATTTTGTCACATCAGGTGGTGGAATGTTAACTTGTTGGCAGTATATCATTACTGCTCCACTTGCTTCTGGATGAAATGATACTGCATCGCCAAGAAGAGAATTGATCATACGTAGACGCTCCTGGGCTAACCTCAGCTCAATGTCGTACTGAAACATATGAGTACAGATATAAAATCTTGTGTGGAAATAGGGTTCAAGGATAATTTACAAGAAAACTGCAGTGTTCTTAGATGAGCAGGTTTTAATATTTCAAAAGAATAATGAAGGACTGATCCTGAAATATTATTTAATGATTGAATCTTGAACTAGGCATTTTGTGATTTAGGGTATAACCTTGAGTCCTATCCCCAGTGCTTGATAAGTTAGAATCTACCAGCATTTACACTAAATATACCAACATCAGATAAAGGTTACATAATTGAATTATTATTACACACACACACACACACACACACACACACACACACACACACACACTCTCTCCCTCCCTCTTTAATAGTTTAATAATCTTATTAAAGAAACATTCTTGTAACAACAATGATAAAACCTGTTGTAAAGATTTTCTTCTAGTCCTCCACTGGAGATTTGATACAGCAACAGAAGCTTGTCGAGTTTTTGTTTGGTGGTTCTCAATCTCTCGTTGAACAGCTGTCATGTGTATGTTCTTTTCTCGAAGAAGTTCCTCTACAGCATGAACCTGTAGTTCAACTTCATGAAGTTTACCTTGGGTACCCTAATGGATAAACATTGTTTCACCTATTACAAACAGTGGAGAGTTATTGTAAATATAGGTGTACAACATGAACCATCATGCTTAGTTGGAAAATACATACAGTGGTCCCTCGGTTAACAAGCACAATCTGTTCCAGCAGGTTGCTCGTTAACCGAAAAACTCGTTAACCGAAACCATTGTTTCAATAGGTTTTTGGGTAATTGGTTCCAGCTCACCGAAATTTGCCTAAATTCAACAAAAAAGGTAGAAAAGTACACTTACTTTGAGGTGTGTATGTAGAAGGCTCCTGGATGATGATGATGATGATGATGGGAATTAGAATGGGGGTGGAGGGGAAGGAAGAAGAGAAGGCATTGGGGTGGAAGAGAAGTCACCCCATGGTGCCATTTCACCCATAAAATTTTAGCTCTCTTGGTGTAATTCAAGATTATTTTCTTTAAATCAACACTGCACTGCATTATATATTGTCAATATGTAAAATATATTTCAAAATGACCAATAATTTGCTTGGAAACACAGAAAAAAAGCGTTTAGTTAAGAGAGTCTCAAGCAAGATGTTACCTCCACTGAAAACAGAGAGAGACTAACGCCTGTCTGGTGTGTTAACAGGCTGGATGGCACGCCAGAAACGAGTTTCTTTACCTTCAATTATGTTCAATAATTGTTAAAATGACTAAAAAAGTTAATATTAAACTTTTAAAATTATTGAATAGTATAAACTTCTTGATATTTACTAAAACAGTAAGGAATTTAAGCCCTAAAACCAATTACTGTATTGGCGGACTAATACTACAGCTGGTGGACCGCCAAATGCAAGCGAAAACATGTTGAAGTCGGCTCGTAAAAAACTCGTTAATCGAGGGATTGCTCGTTAACCGAGGCGCTCGTTAACCGAGGGACCACTGTACAGTATTGTATATAAAGGATATAAACTGTGTGATGGCTGAAACAAATAGATACAGAACACATCTGTTAGAGCAGTAAGAATTAATGAATGAATCTGCTTGGTTTGAATGTGGTAACAATAAAGGGCTTAACAGAGTAAAGAAAAATATAAACTTAAGAGTTTTTGTAGCGGGAAGTAAGCCTAACATGGGTAATTCTGACAGATGAAATCTGAAAGTCTAGGACTAGAAAAAATAGAATTTATGTGGGGGTAAAATGAAATGAAGATCTTGGGTTATACCTTCTCTATACTGTTTTATGACAAAAGAACCTAGAACATGAAAGTCATATAGTCAAGGTTTGTTTAATTATTCAGGCCACTGAAAAAAGAACAGTTATCAATATTAACAACTTCTAAGACAATGTCTCTTTATCCAGCAACATCAATTACAGTGCAGTATTCTGTTACCTCTAAGTCTCCCTGGGCCTGATCCAGCAAAGTCTGCCAGACTATAATCTCTTCCTCCAGAGCAGCAAGATTCCCTTCAAGAACAACTCTCTCTTTTTGTTCCTCACCTGTTGTCATGAAACAAGAAAAGACTAGAGTTCGTGCTCACAGAACTATGCAGTACAGGTACTGTGCTACTGTGTTATGGAATACGATATTTATTTTTGTTGGCTTACCCCCAAAATATAATCACAGGGTAATTTTTTTTTTCTCTATTGAAGTTAAACCTGATGGTTTGCCATTTTCAAACTCACTGGTATCTTGAGAACATTACTACAGTAAACTCCCTCTAACCTGGACTCACTTAATCCGGATTTCCTTGCAAACTAGATTGGGGTCCGGCATTGGACACATGTACTGTACAGTATCCTCAACCAAGGAAAACACAACCATTATCCAGTTAGCACAGAGGAAAATATGAGTAAGCGGGTGAGTGTGTGGCAAGGCTCAGAGATGGCAGCAGGTACCTTATCATGTGATCTTGAAGTTGCTAATCCACGGCCTTGAGCTCACAGCTGCTACACTTGTGCTATTTGTGATGTTATTTGCAGTATTAAAGAGCCTCATGGTTTAGGAAAGCAGAAGACAGCTGTTAACTTAAAGACTTACCTAGCTACACTGTGAGACCATGAAAGTGGGTTGTGAGTGAAAGACATAATGCATAAATATGGATTATGATGCTCCACTGTTTACAACTGCATATGTGACTGGGAGAAAATTCAAGCACAAGCACTTACAGTTGATAATGCCAAGGAAAGTTACATTACAAATTTAGCCTATACTGCCCTGCAATATACCAGTACATCTCATTTTGTTTTTCTGATGAATTCATCTAATATTTGGTAAGCTAGATGATTTAAATGTTCAACATAAAACACCTTTTCTTATATACAATTAAGTTAAATATATACTGTAAATGATAAAAACATGCTTCAAAAAATTCTTATGATCCCAACAGCAGTTGTGTACACTATTCTTGACACTGACTACAAGGTTACCAAAAAATGGCAACTGTGGAAATGGTATACAGTACAGTACAGTTGAAACTTGCACTTGTGTACATACAACATATTACGTATTCCCTTTTCATATAAATTGGGACTTTTGTTCCCAGGCCTACTCTTTTCTAATCATAATGACGAAGCTAACACTGAGTAGGAGGATTATTGATGATGTTCAAGAGTAAGAAGAACAGTAATAAAGGTCAGGGTATAAACATGACAACAGTGAAGTAGAAACTAACAATCTTAGTTTCAGTCAATGACTTACTATGATAGAGAATATCATGTAGTTGTGACCGATACTGTTGGCCTTCAATACTAATTAGAGCTACCATTTGCTGCAATGCTTCTACCTCTTCTTCTGCCCTCCTTACTTCTAGATCCAGCAGATCACCCGTCTCTTGCAAGCCTGCACGTTCATGGGCAACCTTTGGAATACATTAAAGATAATACAGTACAGTACAGTATCTGTAATTTGATATCTATAATTTACACTGACAGCAATGTACAGTACAGTATATATTTGTTGTTCATGTCTTATTTATTTTATCATATTTCTACTGTACAGTATTTCATTTCTTCATCTTTTCTTACATTTATATTAGTTACCTGTTATTGTGGGATACATTGTACAGTTTCAGTTTTTCTGTTAGTGATGTATAAAGTCACACATATAATCATCTTGCCTTTTTTAATACACACAACTATGGGTGTTAATAAAGTCCTAACCCACCTTAAGAAAAACCTGCGCAGTAGACCCTTCTTCACCTTCTGGGGTATCAATACTGCACTGAATTTTTCTGTGTCTGCAGTCACAACAAGAGTTTATTAGTGATACTGTACAGTATACTCAGCCTTACCCTGTCCTGTCACTATTAGATGTACACCAAAATGATTACCTATTACCAGTGAGATAGTTGCAAGGCTATACTAAGTGAAGCGCATATTTAGAAACAAACCAAGGCATTGGAATTCCAGTGGTAGATAAATACAATAACGATAATATATTTATCCATAAAACTATGTACTGTACTGTTATGGTTAGGTTTATTAGGTTAAGTCTAGTTTTTTAGCAACTTAAGACAGGTTATATTTGGTTGGTTAGGTTAGGTTACTTCACAACTTCATAAAAATATCATCATATGAGGCATCACAAGAAGGGAGGGCAAAAAAGCCAAAATTACATTTTGAGTAATATGTGTTCAAAGAAATGCATAATTAACTCAAATATCACTCAATTTTCAAACATTTGATGTTATTATTTATGGTTTGAATGAATCTTGTTGCTGTCTGTAGAAGTATTATGCTATGTGCACGTGGTAGCATGACAGTCATTGGCTGAAGGTGGTGGGTGGATGGTAGCTGGAAGGTGATTGGCTGTAGTGCTCGCCCTTTCTACTCAGTAAGCTATAGTAGACCTGACATTACACCTTGCTTAGGAATTGCATATCAACTTTGTCCCTTATACAACCTGAGATGAAGGTTGCTATTACCATAGCTTACTGCACCACCTCACTCTACAGCAGTGGTTCCCAAACTTTTTAACATGACTCCCCCTTTTGCTTTTTGTGAAGTCCTCCCCCCCTCCTTATATTTTTGTATGTAAAATCTACAAAGATTTTATTTTTTATTATGATTATATTTCCGTAACTGAAGATGAGGGAGGATCGGTGGCTGGTAGTGTTGTAAAAGATACGAGTAGTGTGAGAGTCAGTATGGTATCCATGACATGCACAAGAAGCGTAAGGAGAGAGAGAGATGAAATGATAGAAAACAGATAGGGGTGACTGCTATACTTTGGTTTTGCACAGATGTGTGGAAGATTGAAACGGGGAGAAAATTACTCCTGAAAGAGTTTCTTCATTATATTCTTTCTGAGCAAAAAATAAAAAATTTGGCAGATGGCTTCATGCCTCCCTTGTACCCACCTCACGCCCCCCTCAACCCCCAGTTTCGGAACCACTGCTCTACAGGTTTTAGCTTGCAAGGGGAGGGAGAAAACGTAAAATTGACAAGTTGGAGAGTTCACCCTTACTTCGTGTGACACCTCATATGATAAGCAATGCCAACTGCACAAAGAAGATACTGTATATCCATACTTGTCTTTCAGGTGAAGTACTCTGTTAGTAACTTCATGTAGTTGAAGAGAGAGTTGGTGCATCTCACTGTTCACACCCCTTAGGTTAATATCTGCTTCTTTGATACGAATCTTCACTCCATTTATCTGTTCTGATACTAACTGAAAAAAATACAGAGAAAAATCGTAATTTAAAAGGCTTCACAAAATTTGACTCCATATACAGGTACAGTATTCTCAATTTTTTACATTTAAAAACCATTAATATTATAGTAATAATGATAAAAATTATAATAATAATAATACTGTAACAACGATAATACAGTAGTACAGTGAAAAAGTGGGTCCCATAGACATGGCTGCTCATTAGGGACAGCGCGGATACAGCATACTGTATATTAAGCTTTCTGTACACAAGGAGGCAGCATAGCTGGCACTGTTCTCGACTGCCTTTATTTCCCCAAGTTGTATACCTAGATACCCACTTGCAGATGGGTGAACTGGGAGCACCCAGGAAATGAACACCGACCCCCATTACAGGAGGGGAGTGTTGTATCCACTTGACAACACAGTAAAATATTTTTTCCCCAGAGTAGTTCAACCAAAACTCTTCAGCTCAAAAATTCATGTCTACCACTACTGTATATGGTACTTGCTATACCATTCAGCTCCCAAATACTGAATATCCATTGATTCAGTTCTCAATCCATGTGGAAAGAGACCTGAACCACATCACCTATGATAACTTTACCTAACTTAGGGCCAGCCCAAAGGATTTCTCTCCACCTCAGAACCAATCAGAGGCTACTGTGATGTCAAGTCACTGTTTTCTAGCCTAAACTCGATATAAATATACTGTACACAGTATCTGTATATTGTAATGCACTCAATACTTACCATCACCTTTGTATTTGTTTTGAAACATATTAAGGACAGCACACCTGGTTAGATCCACAAAGCTTTCTCAGCAATGAAAAAGCTGTGGACAGCACAAGTAAATAAGTGATACCCCTGTACTGGCCTGCAATGCACCCAGAAAACAAACACCGCTGTGTTGTTGAAGCTCAATGGCTAACCAGCCTGTGTTATCCTGCCACAGACAACACCTCAGACTATAGAAAACAAGTCTACAAATATACTAGCAGGGCTGGCCACTCAGCCAATGAGAAAGGCTGACTAGCCTGATTCCAAGAATAATATTGCAAGCTGGTTCACTCAGAATTTTACTCATTAAATCAATTAAAATCTCATTCATTGAATTTTCATACCAGCATCTCCAAATGGGGAGATAGATCAGTGGTGAAAAGGATAAAAGTAAAAGCAAAGTAACAAGTAAAAAAAAATAAAATAAAAATTAACACACTATGCTCGTTAACCCCCAATTCTTTTTCAGTGGGACCATTCTGTACAACCAATGCAGTAGTATCAATACAGTATAACAGTATACAGAACTGTAATGTAAAAATTTAAACACCAAATTCAAAATGGCGACCACTTACACCGGAAATCATTCGTCTTAATCAACTTGTCTTGTATTTAAGGTTTACATTTTATACCTGGCATATTTTTTGAGCTTCAAAGGCTGACTTATGATATAAACCAGCAAATAAAGTAATAATCATATTATTAGTGATAATAATAATTATAATAACAATAATAATAACAGTAATAATATACTGTACATGTATACTGTAATAATAATACTGTAATATGGTAATAAATATAATAATAATAAAATTACTGTAATAATAATAATAATAGAAATCATTACTGTACAATAATACTGTACAATACTTGTAATACAGTACTCTACAGTACTACAATATTATAATTTCAGTACATATACCACCTTTTCCATATCTGTCTTGTCTTGTGAGAGTCGTGATGTGTTGTTCATAACAGTTTGGAGACGATGCATTCGCTGCTGCAAGTGCAGTTGAGTTAAGCTGACATCCACAGTCAGTTCTTCACAACTGTTGGCCAGTTTTGCACGTTCTCTGGAAAATTCAAACATGATACAAAGATCACTAGAAGAGTATTTGTGGAGCGGTACAGTACAGTACAGGTATACATTACTGTTGTTTGTCAAATTACCAGTACTGTACAGGTATTCATCGTTAAGCGTTAATGCGCTTAAAGTTAATTCAGTTTAGCAATAAAAAAAATCCGGGACCCTTTTTCACTTAACATTAGGTCAAAATTTGGTCTGGTGATAACTTGACTCACTGTGAAGGGGGAAAAACTGGGAATGAGATGGCCTGTTGCCTTTGTTACATGTAATGAAACTATAAAAGTGCACAGGTCACTGACCCACATTAGGGCCTCGGGCCAAAAATATAATAATAATAATAGTAATAATAATAATAATAAAAATACTATAGTAGTAATAATAATAATAATAATAATAATAATAATAATAATAATAATAATAATAATAATAATAATATACTGTAGTAATAATAATAATAATAATAATAATACTTAATAAAATTTAATAAAAATACAATATAATAATAATAATAATAATAATCATAACCATAAATAAATACAAAAATTAAAAAAATCGATCAATAGTGAGAAACAATATATGTATGTTGTGTTGTCAAAGTAAGAGAAATAATTGAAAACCTGCAATTGTGTGTAAATGAGGCAGAAAGTCAGATCAGCAACCTGGGACTTGGTTACAATTTTTGTGGTGCCAAATGGCAGCAAGGTCCACCATTAGACAGCACATTATGCTTCCAATATCTTCCCAGGAGGTAGTACTCCCTGTTTGGTAGCTGCCTACTACCTGGTAAATGTGGCTTAGAAATAAAGAAATATAATATAAAACTATAAAATAAGAAGAATAAAGAGCATGGGTGTGTAGGTGTGTGTGAAGTGAATGTATTTGTGAAGCCATTGGGGTGCAACTGCGTTGCTAGCCCAGCCATGCTTCCTGACGCCATATCCCAATGTGACATCATGGCATACATACAGCACAGTGCTGCAACAGCCACAAATCTCTGAATCAGGTGGGTGACTGCCTGGCTGAACTGTGCTGCATCGCCCAGATGATGGTTTGAGTGTAGGAGCTAATTTTTGACATAAAATTTGGCTCACCGTTTGTTCATTAAATCACATAACTCTGAACTACGTAATTTATATAAAGATTTTGTGTTTATAAATCAATCGTTTTACTTCGAAACCGATTATAATTATTATAAAGGAGTACAGTACATGTACAGTCAACCCTCGCTTTACGCGGTCCCACTTTACGCATTTCCACGTTTACGCGGTACCCTGCCAAACACGGAATGCTCACTTTCCGCGGTGTGTGTACCCTTTTACGCGGAGAGTGGTGCGAGCAGGGCGCGCACAAGGTCGCCCAGTCATCAAAACATTACCGAGTTCTTCACCCGCCACCCACCACAGCCGGCCCAAGTCAGTGATAGTGATAATGATAGTGAGGATATGGACTTATATGGACTTTGAGGGGTTTGAAAAGAGGCTCTGCAAGTCTCTGTGGTGGATAGTGATACAATTGATACAAGTGATACAGGTGAAGGCCAATAATCTGCCCTCTGCCTCGGAACCAACCCCTCATCCCCGTGTGCCCAGCCATCTTTTCTACTAATGTAAGTGTTAAAAAACCTAATATTATTGATATTTCTCTTAATTATTAATTGTGTGTGCATACCATCATAAAATTAAGAAGTTATTTTTACTACAACGTAGGTATTGTGTCTGAAAAAGTTGAGTTTGGGGGATGGCCCGGTCTCTATTTCAATTAATCCCATATGTTATGTTGTTCACTTTACGAGGGCCGCCGTGGGTTCAATTGACCGTGTAAAGTGAGGGTTCACTGTACTGTATATTATTGTATTCAGTGTTTACTGCCCTGCTATTTAAACCTGTTTGTTCACCCTCTGTGTTGCTGTTATCCCTCGTTTAGCGTTAATTTCCCTTAATGTTAGGTTTTCAGGAACGCATCATCCTTAAACGAGGGAGACCTGCACCTTCACAACTGCAACATTGTAAAACCAGACTGGGGATTCTTTGGAAATTATTAAACAATGTGCAATATACTGTACGGTATTCCAATTAAATTAACGCTGGAACAAGAACAGCAGAGAAAAATTAATGCAATGTCAGTAATACTATTCTGATTCCCTTAAGTCTACTTACAAGCTGCATATCTACTCATATGTAATTTTTTTTATACCTTTCTGCACTGGTGTTACTCATCTTGACTGTAGTCACATCTGCTTCCAGTTTCTGGCCATATTTTTTCAACTGAGACACTTTTCCCTGTTCATTTGATCGTGTATTCTGAGATGGAATTGCAAAATTATGAATTATTATACATCGCATTAGAAACAATAAATATGAATGCAATGAATTTGTCAACCTGAATTCACAATACACAATCTAAGGAGGTTGGAATATAGTACAGCATTGGCATTACTATTTAGCCTTAGTTAATGCAATACAGTACAATATGCACTTAAATAAAATGTCACAAAGCCTTATCTAACATAACATATGTGATAACTATTAAAGAAAGTTTTGAACACACTACAATTAACACATTTCTTATCTAACAAGGATGTACAGTAGTTGTAACCTCCAATACATTGTACAGTACTGTATATAAGGAAATATCACATTTGTCTATACAATTGTTTTAGAAACTAACTTTGAGAATCACAAGTTGCTTTGCAAGTATCTTAATGGTAGTAGACACTTCTTGAAGCCGCAAGTTTAAGAGCTCCAACTGCTTTTGCTGATCTACATCAACAGAATTGTCGTTCCCATCATGGGTAAGTTCATGGATATGTCGGCGGAGCTGTTGTATGTTCAATTCCTAGAATGAACGATATATGTTAGAATATAAGAATTTCATAGAAAAAAATACAAATTCTAAAGATCATCCCAACTATAGTGTCAAAAATTCAGGAACTGAAAAATGCTTTAGATGTGATGAAACACACATGAGTACTGTACAGTAGAACAGGAGGTGAGAAAGAACAAATTCATTACATTAATGAAAACATCCCTATAATTTAATTATTAAGTTTAGGAATTTCAGTAACCAATAACAGAGATTACATGATTTACTTTGATGTGTAAATTATAGGAAAAATATAATAGTATAATATAAGTTAAAAGATTACTTCTAGAGTTTCCTTTTCCACTAAGCACCGAGTCTCTTTGCTGGGTGGTCCCAAGATGCTCACTTCAACACCGCACAGCAATACAAAGGTATATAAAGGATATTTTTGTTTTAATTTTTCATAATTCTGTTGAATATCTTTTATTTTGTACGAATACATGTTCAGGGTATACTGTACTGTAATATATTTTGAAGTTTTCCCTCATTATATTTTAGCACATCGGTACAGTAGTTAGGTTTTCCTATACAATACAGTACCTATACTCTGTAATTGTAAAAAAAAATAAAATAATACTAATGGCACTTAAATATGACCACAGAATTTGTGGATCCAACTCATTAATTTCAATGGGTAAAAGGAACTGGGACTGGAGGCATAAAAACTTACCCCATTTACTTAATAACTTACTGTAAACACTTATACTGTACTGTACTCATCAACACTTTTTATTTAACCTTTCTTATTTATCAAGTTGATAACTTAATTACCTTACATTTACATTCAAATACAAACAAATTGGACTGACTGTATTGTACTGGTATTCCCCAACTTATGAAAGGGTTCGATTCCAGAAAAACCTTTCATACATTGATTTTTTCATAAATTGAAGCACATTTTAGCATAGACTCCCATTATAGAAGTGAGATACATTCCTACGAGGAATAAAACAGTAGAGCACCTGTAGCCAGCCTGTTTAACACATGAATTTTTTCTCTCAAACTCAACATTTTCTTCTGCCTCTTTCCAGCAAACTCATCTTCCCCACTATTGAGCCGATCAGTGGCAAAGAAAATAAAAGTAAAAGGCCATTAATCAAGGGTAAGTTATACATGTAAGCAAAAAATCAGCACAAGTTCATTGTATTGAGTCAATAGGTGCAGCAGGTATTTGCTGATTAAAAACTGCTGTGAGAAGGAAGAATACAGCTGTATATACTGTACTTAGAACATTTAAATCACTAACTCATAAAGAGGGAGGATTTACTGTACAGTATTATATTCAATTATTCGAATACAGCAGCTCTTAACTTAGATGTAATTGTATCATATTTCAGATAATACTTACAAAAATTACCTATACAGTATACTTATATCAATATTACTAATTCACAGATAGCTACAGCAATCTGGAAAATTTTTATACAGTACAGTACCTGATCATGGAGAACTTCCTTTTGTTTCACTGCCCTGACATCTAGTTCCTTTATATAGACCAAGTTCCGAGCCTTTGTTGAAAGTAATGCTGTGACCTCCCCTTTGATCAATGCCTCTTGCTGCTGCCAAATAGTCACAGCCTTTTTATGATGGAGTTCAGCCTCCATCACTCTCTCCTTCTGTTTGATTAAGCTTTTCATCAGACCTTCAGCTTCCTGGAAGAAATAAGACTGAAGTGAATGTTTACATATAATAAGTTGGGCTCTACTACAACATGGAATATGCTGTCAACTTTATAGTACTGTACAGTACAGGAAATCCTCATTTTCCAAATACATTATTTAACATACAGTCAACCCTCACTTTACGCGGTTAATGTAACCCACAGGGTGCCGCGGAAAGTGAGGAACGCGTAAAGTGAATAACGTAACATATGGGATTAATTGAAATAGAGTTCGGGCCGACCCCCAAACTCCACTTTTTGACGACACACAACTATGTTGTAGTAAAAATATTATCTTAACTTGATGATGGTATGCACAAACAATTAATAATTAAGAGAAATATCAATAATATTAGGTTTTCTAACACTTACATTAGTAGAAAAGATGGCTGGGCACACGGGGATGGGCGGTTGGTTCCGAGGCAGAGGGCAGATTATTGGCCCTCCCCTGTACCAATTGTATCACTATCCACCATAGAGGCTTGCAGGGCCTCTTTGTCAAACCCCTCAAAGTCCATATAAGTCCATATCTTCACTATAATTATCACTATCACTGACTTGGGCCGGCTGTGGTGGGTGGCGGGTGAAGAACTCGGTAATGTTTTGATGACTGGGCGACCTTATGCGCACCATGCTCGTGCAGCTTACACAACATGGCGGATGGCGGGAGGTGTGAATCCAAAAATGGCGCGGCTCGCCAGCCGCTCTCTGCGTAAAGGGATACGCGCACCGCGGAATGTGAGCATTCCTGTTTCGGCAGGGTACCGCGTAAACGTGGAAACACGGAATGTGGGACCGCGTAAAGCGAGGGTTGACTGTATTGTAAAAAACATCCGCTCATAACAACATTATAATTTATGACCAAATTTTGGTCTTTCAAATGTTTGTTTATTCAATTTTTATTTTTACCATTTTCGCCAATTATCAGCTTACTAGCCGTTTGGGCGCTCTATCCAGTGTTAGTACAGAAGGAAACTGGGGACCGGGAAACCTGTGGTGTTTGGTAGTGAGGGTCACACTGTATAACACCCTTCTCACGTGTGTCCGGGCCGAAGCTCGAACCTTTGACATATTGGTGAGATTTACGCGTGTTACCGCTGTAACACCAACATACCACCACTGTACTGTAATGTTATTATTACCTCTATTACACATACTTGTAATATCAATTTACTCATTTATGTTTTCATAACTGTACTTAATAATATTTAATTTAAAAATTTAGTTTTCTCTCGTTTCTGGGGACCAATAAATTACCGTACTTACATCATGTTTCAATGGGATTTATTGATCCAGTTAACAAACACATTAAATTCATAAACCAGGGACTGCCTGTCCTCTTTTTTTCTATTGATATATCCTGATGAAATTCCAAGTCTAGAAAATATAATAAAGCATACTACAGTATAAGTATAATTTAGATAAAAAGTGCACTATATCAAGGTTACAGCTTTTGTGCCTCTTTAAAATTATACATACAGACTCTTTAAAAATATGTATATACAATCTTGATTCAAGTACAAAAAGTCCAAGTAACCTCCCTAACATCCTTACCCAAGCACAGCACAGTACTGTACTATACCCATTTAATATGTGACTGTCTCTAGCAAAACCTGGCCAAAGTCACATGACCTACTGTTACACAGCACTAGTTGCAGGACTTCAACACCTGAAAAACAAATTACTGTACTTGTATATCTATTACATTACTTTTATTATTTTTTCCAACTATACATTCGAGAAATAATAAAATACAGTGGTATGTATTCATTAAAAAAAAAAAAAAAACCTGTGGAATGAAAGACTATGTACACTAAATCAAAAAGTGTTGCTTAAAGTTCTCAATAGGTTTTAGGTTATGTTTCTCACCTTTATCATGGCTTCTAAAGAATGCAGTGACTCTTCAGCTGATATTACAAGTTCAGTATTGACTGTCAACTTCTCCTCAGATTTCTTGCACTTCTGCTCTATGCTAGCAAGGAATGCTTCTTTTTCCTTTCGAAATTCTCGTTGTTCTGCTGATTGAAGACTCAAGCTTTCAATTTCTTTGTTAACTTTACTGAGAGTATTCTGAAGAGCCCAGAGCTGTCAATCAGAAAAGAAAATATATATACAGAAAATAATAAAATAATAATTATTCCACAATAGATGACAAGGTTCTGCTATGGTGGCACAGTATGCACATGTTGAAAGAATAAAAAGTAGAAGGTAGATAATGAAAGAGTTCATAATTCATACATGGATAGCAGGAGAGAAAGGGGAAGATCTTGACAGAAATGGAAGATTTAATATTCCACTTGGACTGTGGAAGGGATTTCTATTTAATGTGTAAGTGACAAAAACTAACCAACTAATAATTTGTTACCTGAGACTCAATCTGTTCTCTAGTTAAAGATACACTTTGATACTGCTCTTTAAACCATGTTCCCTCCTCCTCTACAAGTCTAGTGTTCTCCACAACCTCTTGGCTTGATTTTTGCACTTGTTTTAAAATTTGGCTCTCTTGATTCACCTCTCCCTTAAGAATTCCAATCTTCTGCTGGGCTGCTAATGAATCCTGTAATAAGAAGTTTCACAACTATAATGATCCAGTAAAATAGTTTATAAATCACTAGATTCAAGTGTTGAAGGTTTACAGAACAGCACTAGATATGCTAAATCTTCAAATGCGTTGAACTGTGAGAGGTAACAGGATAAATTGAAGAGAGAAACTTGCAAAATAATTACAACAGGGGAATTCTTTGGTCTCTACCTTTCTGGAAGGAAGCCTTTCAATTTCTCCAAGAACCTCACTTAAGACAAGGAAAGGGAGATTCCTTGGTTATCATCTCCAAGGATGAAACAAACTGTAAGACGGAGATCATCATAAAACATATGGTTTACAATGTATGACTCAACAAACCTCAATACAAGAAGTCTGATCATTAGCTTTCTGGTAGATATGGTGCAGAGTGATTTCCCACTGAGCCAGAAGGTGATCCCGATGAGCAGCTGCTTGTAGAAATGCTGTTCCAAGTTGGTCTAAGGCTGTCTGTGCTGCTGCTGCCTCTGCTTGAGCGCTAGACAGCTCTGCTTCTGCAGCTGCTACTTCACCACTTGTACGTTCAAGGGCAACACTGAGCTCCTGTTAGAAAAAAATTTCAATGATGGGTCATACAAAATACACTGTAATCAAAGTCATGAACTTAAAACTAGCCAAATATTTACTTGTCATATACTAAATCTTAAATTCAAATACTGTAATACTAATAACAACTGTCATTAAAATCCCACACAGTACAGTACTCGGAACATCCATGAATGCCTGTATCATTTCTATGTGCCTGACCTTCCATGTTAATCTTCCTTCTAAACATTTTAGTTAACATTTATTAAAGTCTTCTGTCATTTAAGTACATACCCGGTATGTACAGTACTACGTTGACAACCCCTTATCCGAAATTCCGAAAACCAAAAACCTCTGAAGACTGAAAGTTTTTTTGTGGAGCAAAACTTTTTTTTTTTTTTTAAACAGGGATTAGCCCACCCGGGGACACAGATCACTGACCCACTTGGGGCCGAAGGGGGGTGGGGGGGAGGGGGAGTGTAATAATAATAATTATAATAATAATAATAATAATTATTCACAGTAAATAAAATTTATAAAAATACACAAAAAATTAAATAATAATGATAACAATAATACTACTACTGTAATAATAAAATAATAATAATAAAATTAATAATAATAATAATAACAATAATAATAATAATAACAATAATACTGTAATAATAAAATAATAATAATAAAGAAACACAAGAATGAAAAAAAGATCAAAAGTGAGAAACACGACCTAGACCTATGAATTATTATTATTACTATTATTATAATTATTACCTGTATTATATTTTAGCCCCCAGGCCCCAATGTGGGTCAGTGACCTGTGCCCAGGTGGGCTGATCCCTGTATATATATAAAAAAAAAAAACTAACCTAACCATTCTGAAATCTGAAATGCATCTGGCCCCAAGGATTTCGGATAAGGGATTGTCAACCTGATATTACTATAATTCTTCTATAATTAATTTAAAATTTCCAGACCATAAAACCCCTTCTAAAACATTCACTCTTTTCTTCACCATACTTGGAAAGATTCATAATATCATGAATATGGAATATGGTTATGCAACTTCAAAGATCACTGACATCCTCTCAGTTATGGCTACACTACATACAAGAGTGAGGCTCATACATTGTACACACAACTGAAGAGGACACCAATGGGTATTGAAAATGTATTGTTCTCATAAACATTTCTGTTCTGTAATTTGGGTTAAATCTTTCTTCAGAAATTTACCAATAAACTTTTACCCCTGAATATTGGTTTTCATTAAATTTGTCTGATACAGAAACATTTTACTTTGTTTTTCATGTTGTAAAAAATATCTATAAATATGTTCCAAATATAAAAGCTTAAGTAAAAGATCATATTGGCAAAATAAAAAGTGCAAAAATGAATAAGAAAAGTCTGAGTTTACAATGTTCAAAAAGATTGCATGAGAGTGAGCTTCTTTTAACTCTTATAGTATATGGACAGGAAATTCTGGTATAGTACATCAAATCAACAAAAAATGATATAATGAAGATACAGTGGGGTATGCTATAACGAACGGATCCTACTACGAATATTCCTATAACGAACGGTTTTACCTATAAAATTGAGAATGCTATAATGAACTCAACTCCTACAACGAACGCAGATGAATGCGGGACTATTTCGCCTGGCGCATGAATATTGTTGTACCGCGACCCACAACAAGAGCGTCAGGCGCCATCTTTGTCTCATTGTGTAGCCAGTGCACCACTGTTATTGTTGAAATTTCGTCTTTTGATGTGGAAATAGAGTTATTTGTATAAATATTTTGTTATACAAGTGTACAATTGTGACAATGAATCATCCAAAGCGAGTGAGAAAGCTCATAACTCTTGAAACTAAGAAAGAAATCATAAAGAAACGTGAGGATGGAACAAGCATTGCGAAACTTAGTGATGAGTATGGGATGGCTAAATTGACTATATGTATGATTTTAAAGAATAAAGAGGAGTTGAAAACAGTGCAAGTGGCTAAGGGAATCTCTAGACTTAGCAAAGCAAGGTGTAATGTGATTGAGGAGATGGAAAATTTACTCTTAGTGTGGATAAAGGAGAAAGAAGTGGCAGGTGGTAACATTAGTGAAGCTATAATTTGTGAGAAGGCCAGACAATTGTTTGAGGACCTTAAAGCCAAGACTCCCAGTGCAAGTGATGGTGATGTGCCAGTGTTTAGGGGTACCAAGGGGTGGTTTACTGGTTTCAGAAGGAGAAATAAAATACATAGTGTTGTGAGACATGGTGATGCTGCTAGTGCAGATAAGGAAGCAGCTAAGGAACACCATGACTTTTTTTGAATATTATTAAAGAGGGAGGCTTAGTTTCTGGTGACTGCAAAATAAAGCCACTCCTTGTGTACCACGCAGAAAACCCCAGAGCTTTCAAAAAAAATTAGAAAGACCCGCCTTGGTGTTATGTGGCGGTCAAACCCAAAGGCTTGGGTGACCAGGAATTTATTCTCTGAGTGGGTGATTGAGGAGTTTGGACCCAGTGTTCGGGAATACCTCAGGGAGAATAATCTTCCACTGAAAGCTTTGTTGGTGATGGACAATGCACCAGCCCACCCTCCTAATTTGATGGTTGAATTGCCAGAGGAGTTCAACTTCATCACTGTGCACTTCTTGCCATCCCAACACAACACCTCTCATCCAGCCCATGGATCAACAGGTAATTTCTAACTTTAAGAAGCTGTACACAAAGGCACTGTTTAGAAAATGTTTTGCATCCACGTCTTCCAGTGATGTTAGCTTGAAGGAATTTTGGAAGAGTCACTTCAATATAGCAGATGCTGTTTTTTTAATTACCTCAGCCTGGAAAGAGGTTACTGTGTCATGATCGTGATGACGGCTAACCTGAAAACCTTAAGGATTCATATTATGCTCAAACGTCCACAAAACCTTCAGAGTCCCCCAGTGGAAACGTCCCCCGTTTTCTCTGTTTCCTTGATGACGTCATTGATAGGCCGTCTTTGTCTTAAGGGAACTTTGAATATAATCCGCAGATTTCGTAGCAAGACGCTGTATGGTGGGACCTGTTGCCATCCAACCCTTTGTAATCAATTTAATTTTGCTTTTGATAGCTCAGTCAGAGCATTGTTAGTGAGGATAATAGTAGGGAATGAAACGGAGTTCATAGTCTCAGTTTCAATGTCAGAGTGTACAGTAAATTAATTCATGGAAATAGAAGTAGGTGGACTCCCTGACCTATTCTGAGTGAGGGTGCCGCGGGCATTTCAACGGTTAGTAAGTGCTCGCCCCTTCACCCATACAGGTAGGCCATTCCACTCTGTGTTGTAATTCGCCCTTCTTTAAGTGATTTGACCCAATTAATAGTTGATTGTGCAAGTGTTACAGTAACGTAGTTGATATGCTCTGAGTGAAGTCATATTTACGTCTTTAACGTCCCCTGAAATGTGATGTCGTTGTCACTGTTAGTAAGTGCTCGCCCCTTCACCCATACAGGTCCCTAACGCAGCCTAGGCTGTGCCTGTAGCGTGGATGTTGTATCCACTATGTCTGGGGATATGTCCGAGGTCCAGTAGGATCAGTTACCTTCGTGAGACCCGACCGTCAGACACTTCAGACTACCTATGGCCCCCATAGCTGGCTCGTCTGGCCCTAACGCTCGGCCTGCGAGGTGACCCCGGATCACCAAGCCACACACCACTACCAGCCCCCATCATTGGTGGATGAGTGTCTAACTCAGTAGGGCTATTTGTGTGGTGGGGTTAATCCACTGGGATCTTCAGAGTTTGTCGGAAAGTACCCCATGGTGGCAGGACCCCATGGCGGTTCTTGAGTATCACTCCTGACGACTGAGTGTTGTAGTGGCAGTTGCCCCTGGTCTTTATGGTGCTAAGTGACTATAAGAGTTATGTGTTATTGAGTATGTCTAACCAGTAGTGGTGTGAGTGATATTGAGTATGTCCACCCAGTAGTGGTGTGAGTATGTTGAGCCTGAGGGCATAGTACCAGATTTCGTCTGTTGGTACATATATATTCTTTCTCCTACCTCCATATTAATGTTTAAATAAATTTTGTATTTGTATATTGTGTCTATTATTTACCTACAGTATCTACCGTTATTTCTTCCCTATTACTTGATACTATAATTACATATACCCACGAGCCTCCTCTCGTCACGCTACCAATGGTAATAAGTATGAGAGTAAAAAGAATTGTTACTGACACACAGGCCCTTATAAAATGGAGGCAGCGCAGGCCCTTATAACTGTGAGGTGTCCTTGTGCTGCTTGGAGGCCATTGTGGCCTGAATCTGTCCTTCAAAGAGACTTTGAAGGCTTCGAAGAGTTAGAAGAAGAGGCTGTTGTTCATGAAATTGTGTCTCTGGGCAATTCCACGGGCCTGGAAGTGGATGATGATGATGTTGAGGAGTTGGTGGAAGAGCACAGTAAGGAATTGTCCACTGAGGAGCTGCTTGAGCTTCACAAAGAGGAAAATGAGACACTGAAGCGGAGCTTAACTTCTGAGGAGTCAGGGGAGGAGGAGGACAAGGAGGAAAGCCACATCATTCCAGCCAAAGATCTCAAGGATGCATTCTTTTGCTGGAGCAAACTGTCCAAACTTGCTGAGGATTATCATCCTGATGTTGGTTCTGTGCAAAAGGCCATCAGTGTGTTTAATGACAATGTTATGAACTACTTTTGGAAGGTCCAGAAATCAAGGTTGAAGCAGCCAACCCTGGATTCCTTCTTTACAAAGGTAACAAAAGAACCTACAGACAAAGTGCCTGTGAGACAGTCACCAAAGAGGGCTAGGAAGGATGACTCCTCTCCTTCCACCTCTTCTCCATAATTCTCTCCTCCCCCTCTGCCTCCTGTCCTGCATGCTGAACAACACTAAGGTAAGATAAAGTACCGTATTTTTTACATTTTCCACATAATTTTTTCAGTGTTAGGTGGTTGTATTTGGGGGCCTGGAACGGATTAATCCTATAACGAACGAGGTTCTGGAACCAATTACATTCGTTATAGCATACCCCACTGTACTGTATTAAAAAAAACTATTAAAAACCAAGTACAGAATATTGTGATTACAAATGGGAGAAATTAGTTTCCTTTGCAAGCACAATATACTGTTCTGTACACTCTACTCCTTAAATGTAATACAGCAAATTATATCCATTTGTTATTAGTTACCTTAATCTTGGAAGCATCCTCTGCAGAATACTGCAACAACAATAAGTTATCATGATCAGCCTCTGCTAAATGGTCCAGTAATTCCTTCAGGAAACTAGAGTCTCCAGTCAAATTCTTCTGCAAATCTTCAAGTTCTCTCTGGCGCTGGGTCACATGGGTTTCTAGCAGTTCAGAAGCTTCTTGGATATTCGCCAAGTCGTTGTGCCTTTTCCTGCATTGTCTCACTATGCCTTCTGCTTCATTACTTGCAGCTTTTTCTTGCTTGGTTTCTGATTCAATATCTTGACGATGAACAAGCACTAGCTCCTGAAATGTTATACAGCTTTTAAGTAACAGCATTAAGCCCACAGGGAATGTCTGGTGTTGGAGTGAATTTCTATGTAGATATGCCATAATCTCCTGTAAGTAACCCGTGTGAAGGTACAGTATCTAACTGTACGGTAAGAAATTAAGAAACACATAATATTATATCCATCCCCATAGATCCGTGACAGTCTTTTTCCCGATAAGTAAACATACAGTAGAGTACAATGGCCACCAACCTGTATATTTTCCAACATCTGTGTCATATCCGAGACATACTCAGAGTTACGTTTATGTCCTTCATTTTCTAGTTTCCACGTATCTTCTGCACGAGAGACTTGTTGCCGTAATTGCTCCACATCTTCAGCCAATCCACGATTAGTATCATCTAACAATAGTAGACCCATACCGGGATTGGCTAATGCCTTTTCTAAGGCTGCCTCCATTGCTTCTAACTGTTTTTAGAGAACCTAAAAATAAGAGAAATTACCAAAATTTTCATATTGTTAAATACTGTGTTGCTTACATACAATTACTGTACAGTGCAGTACCTGTAGTACAGACGTATAGCATAGAGAATGTATTACTGTTTTATCATCAACAAACAGATCCCATCCTTATACTGTACTGTACTGGACGTTTTATTAGATATTTACTAACTTTTGTTGCGCATTTAGTATCAGTCATGAAGAAAAATAATATGCTAACTATAATAGTACTATCTAATAACATAGGAAGGTTGATAGACCATTAAACCTCCCCTTCTGTTAATACAAATCTTTCAAGAATAAAGAATAAAGTAGGAGACAACTTCCCTTTAACATACCTCACTAAAGGTAAATACTATGGAAAACACTGGCTCCTAGACCTAGCAACAAGATATGACTTTTCTAGAGTGTGTGTGATACTCTATGCTCTAGTGATAAGTTTCTTGTCTAAATGCTTCATTTCGACAAGAAAAGATTATTACCAATCCATAGAGCAAAAAACAGACCTGCCGACTATGGCTTGTTGCTGGGTCGAGGAGCAGGTTTTTTATATACATTACCTCCACTAAATAACAATACTATGGTTTATCACTACTGAAGGTAAACCTTTGCTATACATATAACATATACTGTACAGTATTCAATAAAATATACGTACTTTACCTTTAAAAATACCTCCTTACACAGCACAGTAAATCCACCCGAAGACCCAAGTTCCCAACAAGCAACATTCAATATCATGTCTCTTATGAATATATATGTAATTAAATAAAATAATATATATAGGATATTAAAGTTATATAATGATATATTGCTATTTCTTCAACTATCATATATGTAAATATACTTCAAACGGAAGAAATATAATTAACCTTACACCCTCTACACTCTCATCACCATGACAACCTCAGAGAGTAAATAAACAAAAGTTTGACTTGGCAAAATGCCTAATGCTAAATATATACCACGATAAATACCATGATTTAATTTCCAGATAATATGAAGAAAAAATTTTTATTGTGATAAAATAAAAAATATTTTAATACTTGTATCTCGGTTTAGTCTGCATCTTCTGTCTTTAAAACAATAAAAGGAATAAATAGTGGTTGACCCGTGGCTCAGTGATTTGGTTCGTTGTTACTTCTAACATTAGTTATCTACCAGCATAGTGCATACCAGTCTCCAAAAACTTGTATTTAAACTTTGTTTCATCTCGGTGAGTAAAAACAAACACTTTTATTTGTACCCACGAGTTGAATTCAAAGGTATTCATTTACTGTTCTTGTTCACCAACAATAGTTATTCTTCTTGTTCACTAACAATGGTTATTCTAGAATTTCTTTTGCAGAAGAGAGCAGACTAATGGTACAGTACATTGTAAGGGTTAATAACAAGGGTCGGTCTCCTAACTACCAAACGAAAATTCTCCGTAGAAGAAAACTTATTTCTCACTTCCTGAAGGAAGCAAATTGGGTGGAAGCATAGCATTGTTCCCATTCTGGCATTTTCCTTAGGTATTTCCATACAAAAAATAGCGTGACCACCAACCCGCTTCATGACAATGGCATGTTTCCACGTTACTGTTGACAAATACTTTGTAGTGATCATCTGACCAACCCCCAAACACTAAACGATTGAACACTTCCCAACGAGCAATTGATCAACCTTCCTCTCCATACAAACTAACTTACCTAACCAAACCTAAAATAACATTGTAATGAAATAATAAAATTCCATTGTAGAAAAGATAGATTAGGTACATTTTGTTGACTCATTTTATCTATGGTAAATCATTGTATAATTATAACATTTGCTGGAAGTTTTCATGGTTTTGGATAGAATGATGGGACTGCTGCTGGGAAGTAGCTGCCATATTTGTATGCATTTCCAAGCTAATAATATTGGATACTGTATTTTTATTATTCTTAATGTAAGAAAGATGAATTTATTATTGTGTATTCAAACGTTTTCCAAAGTTGCTGCTACTGCTGTTGTCTGTACATTTCCGTTATACCTGTATACCCACGAGTTTTTAGGTGAATCAATTATTTTTTCTACAAAAACCATTGCACTATTGTTTAAAAATGAAAAGTTAGCTGAGGAGAATTGACTTTTTATATTTATTTTTTACTTACTAAAAATCACGCACATCTTGATAGCTAATTAGTGATTTGTTTCTTCACAATAGAGTATTGTTTATATAAAGAAGAATGAGTGCCCGCCGGGGACCTGCAGAAGAGGAAGAAGAGGAGCTGGATGGAGGTCCAGGACTGGCATACATGCCATTTGTTGTTATGGACGATCTGTTAGACAAGCTTAAGCTACTTGGATATGATAAAGACTTCCTTGTAGAGCTTAAAATGAAACCATTAAGCAGGTAAAACATGTTTTATTGATGTGTGTGCATCTGAAATTTACTGAAATTGACACATTTGAAAATAAATGGTTATTGCTTTAGCCCCTGTACCATGTAGGTGAATAGCTGGTGGATATTTGTGAATCAACACTAATGACTAATTCACTAGTTGCTCTAGAGAAATCTTGTGGGATTTTTTTTTTAATTGTCTGAACTGGGCACAGATTAAGTATAGATAAGTTGCAGTATGAGAGGCAGTAATGAATACTGTACTGAACACATAGTTAGAATAGTTGGAATTTTAACTGTAAATTGAATAAAATTACCAGTACTGTGCAGTGTATTCAAGTGTATTACATCTTAGTTGAAATTCATATCACTCTACAGTATAATCACCATTACAGTACATTCTTCTTATTACATGAAGTAGCTAATAAAGACAGTACAGGTATATTATAGTACAGTATATAGTACAGTTTACTGGTATTAGAATTACTTTAATTAAAGGTAAATTGTTTATAATTATTTTTACAGGCATTATTTTGCCTTACAAACTAATCCTGGGGAACAGTTCTACTTGTTCACATCACTGAGTGCATGGCTGATACGTAAGACAGGAAGAAATATGGAACAACCACAAGAGTATGATGATCCAAACTCAACTGTTTCCAACATACTTGATCATCTCAGACAATTGGTGTGTAAATGTTGTTATTTACAATGTTTTTCAACATTTTATCTAAAATTACTAAACAAATTATAAATAATATGTAAAAATAATCAATTAAATTTACAGTAGGTAGAACTCAACAGCTAAAGAGTTTTAACTTGAGGCACAGAAATAGATTTGATATTTTATTATTTCAAACTTCATATCGGTGTAATTGATGTGGACTGAAGGCTTAGTATATAGTGTGATGTAGGCACACTGTGCCGAATGGGCAGTCATGCCTATGGAACCCACTTTCACTGAATAGTATGTACTGTATTGTACAGTATTTGGTTTTCTTATACATGTGTATTTTCAGGGCATTGCAGTTGACTTTCCACCAAACAAGCTTAAGGTTGGTTATGGTGAACATGCCATTTTTGTTCTTGATCGACTTGCAGATTTCGCACTTAAGCAAGACAATTTTTTGTGGAAAAAGTGAGTAGAACATTTTACTTTATCTACTTGTATTAACTCTATGATAATGATATACTTTTTAATTCCCTACCAATGAAACCAAGTGGGATACTTGTCCATCCAACCATCCATATTTCAGTAAACACATCAGTAAGATAACATTTGTGTGAGTTTATATGTAACTCTGAAATCAAACCAGGTTTTATTAATCAAATGATGATTTCACAAGTATTTTTGTTCTCTGAACAGGTATGCAAGGTGAGAAACTGATACTGTAGAAACTTGTAAAACAAAATTAGAGATTACTTCACTTGTTAGATAGCATTGCAACTACAGTACAGGTTGTACCTCTCTAGTCCGGCAACCTCGGGACCTGACCGGTGCCGGACCATGGAAATTGCCGGACCATGGAAATTCACCCATTTCCTTGATAGATAGTGACTTGTGCTTATGCTTGGAAGCACTAGCACCACTTTCTCTGCATCATGGTCTCTTTGAAGACATATTGAAGGGTTAAATGTCGTATAGTAGCTTCTCAAATTTCGCGAGTTTTTAATTCAACGTATTTTATTGGAACACAAAAAAAATAAATAAAAATTTTGACGGCGGAAACTTGAATTTCGACGGGTTTGAACGGCCCGCCAACGTGCAGATGACGTGCATAATCGTGTAAACAGCGTCATTTCTCTTATGTACAAAAGATTCATTATTGATTATTACTGAATGTCTTTTTTATTGAATTAATGTTTATGTGTGCAAAATGAGCAATACAATTCATTAATAATACGTAGAATATTAAAACACACGAGGAAATGACACATCATTGTTTTCGTTGATTACAAAACCAGTGACTGACTGGTTCTACATATAAAACTGAAGAAAATAAGACCTTGGCTGTAGCTGTAGTAAAATTAATATGGTTGTTTTAAGTAATGTTATTTAATGTTAATAAATGGAACAATATAAGCAGCTAACGATAATGGTAAAGAAAAAAGAGAGATCGTGTATGTAAGTGCGCACACGTGAAAACATATCGTCATTACTTTACATAAGAATATGAAAGCAACACTTATTTACTGTTCATATATATTTTAATTAATGTTTCTGAATTTGTTTTTATTGACTTAATGTTTGTGTGCAAAATTAACAATACAATTTATTAATAATGAGGAGACGACACGGCTGCCGGCATTGTTTATGTTAAAGCTTACAAAACCAGTGACTGATTGGTTCTACATATAAAACTGAAGAAAATAAGACCCTGATTTTAGCTGCAGTAAAATTAATGTAAAAAAAAATTAATATGGTTGTTTGAAGTACCTGTAATGTTATTTAATGTTAATAAATGGAACAATATAAGTAGCTAACCATTAATGGTAAAAAAAAAAGTGAGACTGCGCGTATGTAAGTGCGCACATGTGAAAACATATCGTCATTACTCTACATAAGAATATGAAAGCAACACTTATTTACTGCTCATATATATTGAAGGGTTAAATGTTGTACTCTGTATAGACAAGCAGAGAGAGAGAGAGAGAGCAGCCGAACTGCCGGATGTAAACAAACCTTAATTTCCCGCGGCTTTTTTTTTTAAGGGGATTAGCCCACCCGGGCATAGGTCACTGACCCACATTGGGGCCTGAGGGGCAAAAATTTAATACTCCTGTAATAATAATAATAATTCAGATAAGTAAAAAAAAAAAAGAAGCTGCCTATCTACCTATTGGACAAACTAAAATCGTTCCGGACCACGGGAGTTTCCGGACCACAGAATGCCGGACTAGAGAGGTACAACCTGTACTAACATTTTGTAAAAAAAAAAAAAAGCTGCCTATTGGACAAACTAAAATTGTTCCGGACCACGGGAGTTTCCGGACCACAGAATGCTGGACTAGAGAGGTACAACCTGTACTAACATTTTGTAAAGAAATGTCTAGTTGTTAATAATTATTGTTGATAAATATATCAATATTATATGAGTTAGTTGGATTTTGGCTGCTAATGCAAGTACTGTAGTGTAAAATTCAATTACAGGGCTGACAGGAAATTCACAATAAAGTCTTAAACGTTGGTAGATTTAAGTAATTTCTAAGATATGTTTGTATTGATCTGTATTCTCTTAGCCTGAATACAGTAATTGATAACTTTCACAGACCTATATATCCTGCTGAGGATACTGGAGGGGAGGATGGAGAAGTGAAAGACGAAGCTGAACTCACTCTTGACAAAGTGGAGGAAGAAATGATGGCTGAATATGATGATGATGATGAAGAAGAAAATATTCTTCACATGGATGACCTCAAAGACCTGACTGCACAAAAAGTACTCTTCAAAATCACCTTTTAATAAGTTACTGTAGGAAATATTGATAGGTAGCAGTGTGCATGAGTGACCAGAGAGTATTTGCTGTTGAATGGATTTTGGGGATGGACATACAGTACTGCTGATGGGTGACCCTACGTTATGTGAAAGGTCACTGATAAACCAGACAGATTTCTAAGACCTATTTGTAAAAGGGGAACACCAGAGTGTAGGTATGCATGTGTGTCTATGATAAACTTATGATAAAAGACTAACATTCATTTCTAAAAGATTAATTGGCAATCATTAAGAGACAATAAATGATGAGAAAACTTTCACTATGTAACTAATGGCTCCCATGACATATGCTTTATATGGAGACTTCAGTATTATCTTGAGATGAATAAATATTAGTTATTTATTCTGATATCAGTAAACATACATTACTTAAACTAATCCAACAATTGTGTGACTGCTTATTGTAAAAGTTCCAAATATGTATCACAGAAATACTTAAATACTTTACTTGTTCAGGAGGTCCCCATTATGCATTGCGGTTGCGTTCCTGAGAAATGCGACATAACGAAATATCCTGTAATATAAAGCTGGAAATTAATTCCAATAATTAATATCAAAAGCCTAAATACACTCCAGAACTCCCTCACGTAACCATAATTATCCCAATAAAACAGTCCCAAAATACATTAAAGAACACTTAATACAGTATGTAAAAAAAACAACAATAGTACAGTACTCCCTCTTTATCGACGGATTTTTTATCGACGGTTTCGATTATCGACGGATTATTTAGCCGGATTTTTATTTTGGCACCAAACAGCTTCTCCCAGTCCTCTCCTTGAACAGGGCTAGAGGGTACGTGTTTTTCGAATCGTTTTCAGTTAAAAAATTATTACATCACACGTATATTTTACCTAAACTGCGCCTGAATGAATATATTCTCGGAAATAAATAGTAGTTTTGCTGAAACGTGATGTATTTCAATGTAAAATAGGATAAAATACATGACGGAAACAAAAGACTTTACCTAAGCTTCCGATGTTCTTGAGATGTTACTCGTTTTTTTAATAGTTTTCGGTTAAAATTCTGTTATATTACAATGATATTCTATTCATACTGTGCTTGATATAATACATTCACGGAAATGTAATATTTTTGTTGAAATGACGTACGTATTAAAGTGGAAAGTGGGATCAAATCGTGATGAAAACAATGACTCACTTTCTTTCGTTCAAAAGATGTTACCGTAATCACTTTTCGAATGGTTTAGTTAAAAAACTGTTGTATTACAATAATATTCCCTCCTAATTGACTTGAATAAATACTTGAATGGAAATATACAATATTTTTGTTGAAACTACCCGCGTTTCAGTGTAAAGTGTTGTAATAATAAATGGTAAACAATTTGCCTTGGGCATCCGGATTTTTGGACTTTTACTGTACTGTACACTGTATTGTTTACTGTAAGGACCGATGTTCACTTCAATAAATGAAATCGTAAGTTTGCTAGTATTTTTGTCCACTTATATTATTATTTATACACTATTATTTAAGGTTATGTGTAAAGGAAACGCATTAATGCTTAAAGGTACATTTATTCAACATATGCTAATAATAGTTAGAAAAATTACGTAACCATCACGGTATCGACGGTTTCTTTATCGACGGCCGTTTACAAAACGTAACCCCCGTCGATAAAGAGGGAGTACTTAATAAAACATTAATATACTGTATACAGTATTCATTCTTACCTTATAACTAGTATAGTTGTTAGGGTTGATGGCAATATGTTGACATTCTTAACAATGGCCCGTATCGTTGTTGGAGGGAGGCCGAGGCTACGAGCGACATCAACAGTACGTACACCATTGCACTTCCTTTCTATCAGTTGTTTCTTGATTGCTAGTGTTACACTTTTTTGCTCGCACTAAGTCCACCTTCACCACTCATGATGAAGGATTACACAAATATGTAACTACAAAGTTTAAGATTCATGCGACACATAGGATCACCGAGACGTTCTGCACTAGGGAGGGATGTTGGGTAAACTTATGTCTCTCTGCGCATGCGTCGAGAGCCCATGGGCAGCAACCATTTGCACACGGCTTGCATCTTCTACACACTAATCCCACCCCCCCCCCCTCCCGTTCACTCCCTCATTCACCAATGCTGACGATGTAAGTGTGGAAAAACAACTTGTATCAGAAAAAGTTCCTAAATAGCTAAGCAATGGAAGTGTGAAATTATGCATAACGGGGACCTCTGATATATAATTTACTATAGTATATTGTATGAAGTGAGAAAAGAAGTGTAATACAGTATGTACAGTATCAGTAAAAAGATAATAAGAAAATTTATTATAAAGAGAGTGACAAAGTAAAGGAGCTGTTACTTCAGTATGAAAATTCAGTCTTCAAAACCCATTTCTTGATGGAGCCAGTGAAGAGCAACCTGTGAATATGCAAAGCCATGCTTTTCAAGGTCTCCCTTGTAGGAACCTCACTCAGGATAGATTAGAGGTCATGGTTGGCGTAAGATGTAGGAGGGTGATGAGATTTAACACTATACTGTACACCACATTTGATGGTGTCCTAAACCAGTTCTGCAGCAACAGCTTCCTCGCTCTGTCCATCCTTCCAGGGAGTTGGGTGGGATCCAAGTCACTCCTCACTGAGTCTAAGAAATGAGTTTCCAGGATCATATCCTTATTTATAACTTTGTACCAGTTTGGAGCGACTTGTGAATCAGAAGTCAGCTAACAGAAAGGCAGGAAGCATAAAGATGCTCCAAGTACTGTGTTGCATGCATCCCTGTGGGGATTTTACCTGACATACAAGAAAGGAAAACATGTAAGCACATGCAAACTGAACGTAATATGAATCTTCTCACTTAAAGATAACAAACTTGTAAGATTGTGATCAGTACATCTTAAGGAAAGAATCTCCATTTAATATCTATTCAGATGACATTACTATTTCTTGACAATATTATTGGTCTGACATTGTTAAATGAGATGTAATAAACACAGTGTAAAGAATTAACAGCATGATGTCGTGACTATTCACACTCCCATGCCTTATGCAAACCTTGACCTATGGTCTTTTGTTTTGAACAATGATCATTACAGGGGAGGAGTGACTTTTGGCTTACTACTAGTCATCATGGCCTAAATGTTTACTGTATATTCACTGGTTTCTCCAAACATACCTCAAGGTAAAAAAGATAAACAATGTTGAACATGCCATGGGTGTACAGCATACTGTATAATCCAACAATATTTTATCGTAGGATGGGGATGCTTGGCCAGATGAGATCCTTCATTCCAACACTACATCAGAAGAATGGAGGTTGGAACTGGAGCGTGTTCTGCCTCAGCTAAAAGTGACCATAAGATCAGGTAAATCACATTGGTAAGACTACAGAACTGATAACTCAGCTGAATATTAAAAAAAAGCATTGTGAATCAGTGTCAATAATAAATATTCAACTTGTATGCTGCAGATGTAAGTTGAGGACATTTAGCACAAATAATAATGTGAAGAGGAAAGGAAGGTGAATAGACAAGTAACCGGTAAGTAACGTAATACAGATACTGTACCAGTACAGTATAATATTTAGTTGTGTTCAATTTAAAGACAAAGCTTTACATCACTACTGGTGTGTTTACTGCTCATTACAGAAAGATTTTTTCCAGCAGTTTTTAATACACATACTGTACTTGTTAAAAAGGATAATTTATTAATATGTTTTTAAACAGATACCCGTGACTGGCGATCTCACATTGAACAGATGCACGAACATCGATCCAAGATAAATGAGACACTCAACTTTACTCAGAAACAACTTGATGGTCTTCACTCGGAAATTTCTCGTAGTCTGGAAAAAATTAGCTCAAGAGAAAAATATCTTAATGGCCAGCTAGAGCCTCTTCTGTTGGAATATCGGAACCTTCAGGTTTGTAATACTGTACTGTACAGTATTACATATACTACAGTACTATATAGCAGTCCTGTAGCAGATCGAGAAACATTAAAAATTTTCTAAAGGATTAAATATTGTATATACTGTACAGAAATTGTTCAAAATCTACTTATTTCTGTGTACTACAGTTAGTCCCTAATTTACAAAACTTTATTTTATGAAAATTAAAAGTTACAAAAAAAGTTTTTCTCCCCTGCTTTGATTTACAGATGAAAAACCCTGTTGTTATGAAATTTTTACTATTTTTTCCTAAGCACTGGGAAAAAGTGCTTTGATTTTCGAAAAATCAATTTACAAAAGGTTTTTCAAGAACAAAGCCCTTTCATAAATAAAGAAATACCTGTAAAGTACTGTACTGTATTTCACACTGTAGATTTATTCTCTCCTTAGTGCTTCACAGATTTAATATTCCTAGGGAAACTGCATGTCACACTAGCACATGGAGCTTATTTATCCTACCATCCTCCTTTTACTTAGTTGACTTCAGATACAGGTATATAAATTGCTTAGGGGAGGACATAAGGTTATTGGAGAAGGACTGAACCTGATAGCCAAGTCTAGAACTGGCAAGTAAGCTGACAAGTGGTAAAGAGGATTACTGTACTAATCAAATTGGATACATTTACTCCTCCAATAGGTAAAATGAGTCGCTCAAGCTTAATGGATTGATGACTGGAATTACAGTACGGCCAACCTGGTTGTGGTGTGAGATGCACACATATGCTAGTTTAACCTCATGACTTATCAGGCATACAATCTTAAGGGTGTATAGTTGCAGCAGGGGAATACTATATCTTATCGTAGTTTAGTCCTACCTACTAATGACAAAGTTTACCTGGGTTTTCAAACTGCAGATTTAGTGAGTAATATGCAAGTCACTTAGTTCCAGTCTTGGCCATAAAATAAGGACTTCAATATGTATCCCTCATTTCTATCATTTACCAGAATGTAGCAGCAGAGAGTCGAGAACAGTATCGTGTAGTATCAACGAAACTTGTGGAGAAATCTCATGAACTGGCGCAGATATCTGATGAACTAGACCGTGTTAAACACGAGATGGAGGAAAGAGGCTCCAGTATGACTGATGGCAGTAAGTAAACTGATAAATTTTGTCTGTATGTCTGTGTGAATGCATTTTTCAGGAGACGTGTGTGCTTTATGTATTTATACAGTACATACGTATCTATGTATGAAAGAGAAAGAAAGAAAGGGGCAAGAAACATAGTAAAAGTAAGAGAAAATGAGAATGACAACGAGAAAGAACTAATGCAAGAGATTGGTGAGCTGATTTTTTTTTTTACGGGGATTAGCCCACCCGGGCACAGGTCACTGACCCACATCAGGGCCCGGGGGGCGAAAATGTAATAATAATAATAATTCATAGGAAATAAAATTTATAATAAAAAGTAAAATAAAATATTAATGGTAATAATAATAATAACAACACTGTGATAATAATAAATACAAAGAAATGCAAGACTGAAAAAAAATCAACAGTGAGAAATGCTATGAGAATGTTGTTTTGTCATGTAATAGAAGCAATTGAGGCCCTACAATTGTGTGTAAATGAGGCAGAAAGTCAGATCAGCAACTTGGGACTTGGTCACAATATGGCAGCAGGGTCTACCATTAGACAACACATTATTTTGCCAATATCTTCCCAGGCGGTAGTACCTCCCTGTTCGGTAGCTGCCTACTACCTGTTGTTTCATGAGAATTTGCTGTGCCATAGAAACACTTTTATTTGTGTTGTAATAACCTGATCCCTGTTTCTGTCAGCCCCTCTGGTGAACATAAGGAAAGCACTGACACGAGTGCGACAAGAGATCACAGCCATGGACGTGCGCATAGGAGTGGTAGAACAAAAGTTGTTGCAAGCTAAGCTCAAGGACAAGTCCAACATGCAGAGGGACATGAATGCTCCTGTGTACAACAATATGGACATGGGCCTTTTCTAGTGCTCATATAAACCTCCTGTAGTGGGTACATGTCATAGGCTTTATATATATATATATATATATATATATATATATATATATATATATATATATATATATATATATATATATATATATATATATATATATATATATATATATATATATATATATATATATATCACCTTGTATCTTGTATACTATTAACATCACCTGGCAATTAGCAGGCCTGGAGTAAAACTATTTATAACTTGATATTATATTGTCCTCACCCACATTACGAAACTCATCTGCTAGTACGCTCCTCCTTTCTTTTCCACAGTACCCATACCATCCTGCCACTTACTCTGGAGTCTGGACACAACTTTATGTACGTTTGTAGTGGATTTCTCCCCTACAAACGCTGTTTGTCGCTGAGTAGCCGACCCCACCAATTCCCCAGTGTATGCCTCGTGGTCTAGGTCAACCAGCGCCGCCATACATCAAGGAGCGGGGGTCAACTACTAAGCCACGCCTACCCCCCGTTATTTAAGACCTGACCTCGTGGTGATCCCTCTTTCTACCTACACCAACCAGCCAGCAACACACCTCCTCCGCCGCTGCCTGGCGGCCCTCGCTCCTCCTCCGCCTGCCTGGCGGTCCTCTCTCCCGCCGGCGAGCATGGCGACCCACAAGCTGTCCTTCTCTGAGCGTCCTCACCAACCAGCTCTCTCTACATCACGCTTGTAACCATGCTGCCTTCCCAGCACCAAGCTGCATTGTACATCCAATACAACATGTATAAAGAGAGCACATTGTGAGTTTCCTTTCTCCATCCCATCCTGAGTGTGAACCAAACATCCTGAACCCCACACGTTCAGTAGCTTCGCAGCTGGAACATTTATTGTCATATAAAGTTTCTGCCTTGAGGTTCGCCACATTACAGTAGTTATACTATTGTAGTGGATGCTCTCCCCTACAACTGTCGACTAATCACTTGCCGTTCGCTTACCAGCCAATCAGCTTACAGGTAGAGAAGCTCCATCGACGTCCACAGACTAGGTCTCAGGTGCGGACGCAGGTGTACAGCTGCTGACTGATTTCTGACCGTCCACTTACCAGCCAATCAGCGGTGAGTTCAGCAAACCAGGCCTCTCTCGCGGACTGCGTGGTGATTGGTCCGTTACCGCCTTCACCTCACTTTCCTGATCCTGACAAACCGTATAAATACGCGTAGGCTGGGCTGCTTCTAAACTTGAACTGATCCTACACCTCTTAGAAATTAAACTTCCCTACTATAAACAAAACGCTTCATTAAAAGATGAGAGTGATCAAAGGACACTATCCTTGGCCTCTCCAACCCTTGTTTTCTTGCCCCTTCCTTCCACTCTTAATAAAAACAAAAGATACGTTGCTCAGCCTGCTCCACAAGAACCTGGCCAGAGGTCGTCACCCCTTCCTTGAAACAATGGCTACCTCAAAATAAACATACTTTTAACTAAATGAAAAAGGCTTGAGAGCTAGAACCAAATCACGCAAGATGTAAGTTCAAATATAATTATTATAACCTCAGCATATCTGGTTGAGCCCGGATACTGTCAATCTCTTACTTTCCTTCAAATTTCCTCCCTCTTTTCCTTGATCCTAAACCAATCCCTCAACCCCCAAATTGCCACCAAAGAACTTCCAATCCTAATCCCAGCCCTCCCACCCAGCAATACAAGCAATAGCCTTCTACCTTATCTACAGACGTCAAGTCAAGTCAAGGGGTCCGACTAATTACCCAAATGTAGCCGCAAGTCAAATAATGGTCCTACATGAATAAATCGGGTTACCAATCACTTCTCGACTAGTATTTGGTGTCACAAAGTAAAAAAAAAATGGAAAACGTAATTTAATTTGAGTTAATAGATCGAGTGCATGTACCGAACCTAACCTAACCTCGACTAGTATTTGGTGTCACAGTCACAAAAAATTGGTAAACTTAATTTAATCTGAGTTAATAGATCAAGTGCATGTACCTAACCTAACACAACACAACTCGGATTAAATTAAGTTTACCACTTTTTTTTTTTACTTTATGACACCAAATAATAATCGAGAAGTGATTCACAGCCCGAATTACGCTTGTACGACCATCATTTGACTTCATTGCGGCTACATTTGGGTAATTCCTCGCTCCGTCGGTACATGCATGCGATCTATTAACTCAGATTAAAGTAAGTTTTCCAATTTTTTGTGACTTTCTGACACCAAATACTAGTCGAGAAGTGATTAGCAGTCCGATTTATTCATGAAGGACCATTATTTGACTTCATTGCGGCTACATTTGGGTAATTAGTCAGACTGCAAGTCAAGTGGAGATCATTCTACTCTACTCTCCTGAACCAGCAAGACCTCCCAACAAGCTCCTCACCAACTAGCTCCCTCAGCAAGCTCCTCACCCAACAGGACCTCTGAGCAAGCTTCTCACCACACAGCAACTCCTCCATCCTGAGTGTGAGATATCTTACATGCACGTACGTATGTGAGCCCATACAAAGAGAAATAGACTGTGGGGTTATGGGATGTTGGTTCACACTCAGGATGGGTTGGAGAAAGGAAACTCACAATGTGCTCTCTGTATACATATTATATTGGATGTACAATGCAGCTTGGTGCTGGGAGTGGCAGCGTGGTTACAAGCTGGAGTAGTGAGAGCTGGTAGAGAAGCGTGCTCAGAGGAGGTGTTGCTTGCTGGTGGCTGTAGGTAGAAGAAGGAGGTGTTGCTTGCTGCGGCTGAGCTAGAAGAAAGAGGTAGGTCACGGCCACCTGAGGTCTTATATAGCGGGGGTAGGCGTGGCTTGAGAGTTGACCTCCGCTTTGTTAGGCGGCGCTGGTTGCTGACCTAGACCACGAGGCGAAAGCTGGGGAATTCGAAGAGGGCCGGCTGGTCAGAGACAAACGGCGGAAGTAGGGGAGAGGATCCACTACAAGACAAACAGAGATCTTGACAGCTGGCCACATACAGTACGCTACAATTGGGGACCCCCGGAGTACAGTACGCTACAATTGGGGACCCCCGGAGTACAGTACGCTACAATTGGGGACCCCAGAGTACAGGCTAGTACCCCAGTACATACAATTGTGACCCCTGCGCCTACAGGACAGACGCTACAATTGGTGACCCCGGAGTACAGTACGCTACAATTGGTACAGACTACCCGGCTAGGACCCCAGTACAGCTATTAGGGACTACAATTGTGACCCCGAGTACACGCCCAGGAGTACAGTACACTACAATTGGGGACCCCCAATCACACATTGGTGGAGTACAGTACGCTACAATTGGGGACCCCCGGAGTACAGTACGCTACAATTGGTGACCCCCGGAGTACAGTACGCTACAATTGGTGACCCCCGGAGTACAGTACGCAACACTATATGATGTTACTGGGGAGGAGGGTCAACTCTTAAAAATATATCGATATCGCTCCCAATCCATGCTTGAGAAATTCTGGAACATGTTCTCCTTAACATGCCCAGTATTTGCCATCAGTCTATGTCGCTGTATATTGTTGTATGCCTAAACAGTGTGTATACATGCTGAACGAGTGTGAACTTATATGACAATATTGTACTAAATAAATATATATATCTGTATTAATCTACATTTCGGAAATCCCTCTGCGTATAAAAATCCTTCTGTTACAGTATACGTTGCTACTGCCAGGCGTATGATTTCAACCTTCCTCTTACAGTTGTGGAAATGATTTAACTTATAAATCTCGCTGTCATTATCTCAAAATAATTTCATACTAACATAAAGGCGTTTCAAATGTAATATTTTTATGTATCTATTATAGAAAGGAACTCATCGACATTCCTCCAGCTACCAGATGTATGATGTTCGCCAAATCTATAAATTTACATACAGGACCTAGGCGAGTATGCTCCTTTGATATAACTGAAACGCTTTTCTTAACCTTTGAACCTTTGATAGTCGATGTTCAGTGTATGATGTGACTTAGAGTACTGGAGCATTCTCAACTAAATTTTGAACATGTAAGAAATGGCTCACTATCTACCTATTTATATTGCTCTCAATCACCATCGTTGAATTGTGGATGCACTGTGGGGTACGAGATGTTTGGTTCACACAGGATGGGATGGAGAAAGGAAACTCACAATGTGCTCTCTGTATACATGTTGTATTGGATGTACAATGCAGCTTGGTGCTGGGAAGTGGCAGCGTGGTTACAAGCGTGATGTAGAGAGAGCTGGTTGGTGAGGATGCTCAGAGGAGGACAGCTTGTGGGTCGCCATGCTCGCCGGTGGGAGCGAGGGCCGCCAGGCAGCGGCGGAGGAGGAGGAGGTGTTGCTTGCTGGTTGGTGTAGGTAGAAAAGAGAGAGGTCACCACGAGGTCAGGTCTTAAATAGCGGAGGTAGGCGTGGCTTAGAAGTTGACCTCCGTCATGTAAGGCGGCGCTGGTTGACCTAGACCACGAGGCATACACTGGGGAATTCGCGGGGTCGGCTACTCAGCGACACAGTTCTCAACTTCTTTTTCTGGGTTAATTTTCATATTTTGGTTTACTTATATTCTTGTATTAGCGAAATTACTCGGCTTCGCTCGGGTTAGGTAGGTTATGTTAGCGGTAAGGTTGGGTTGGATTGGTTTAGGCGAGTTTGGGGGGCCATTTCACGAACTGAGCAAAATTGCTGCTCAGTTCATGAACCGGGCAGTTACACAAATGGAGCGTAACATATACTGTACACTGTTCAACCTTAATTGTCACAGTTTGTCCTCCCTGCCATGGGTAACCACATTACCCTAATCAAACCCAACCTAGACTGCCACAATTTGTCCTCCCTGACACGATTAACCACTTCTCGCAATCGCCGTGACTAACTCAGTAGGGGAAAATTTTTGCTTTCTTGCCCGGAGCACCTGGGAGTCCGTAGTCAACAGCAATACCAAGGCGAACAACCTTGGAACTAATCACTAGCGTAGCTAGGGGGGGCGGTCCGCCCCGGGCGGCACTTTTGGGTCTGCTCATCACCCATATCTGCAGCTACTGGAGACGTTAATCCATCCCTTTGTATCGGCGGCAAGTTAATCCTTGTCGTGTCTGACCTAACACCTGACCCACATCATCACGGCCACGTCATGAGCTACACCCTTGCTATGCGCCCCCCGCCACACACACAACCTGTAACCTGTTGAGGATTAAGGAAACAACTTCAAACAAGTACGCCAGTGAGCTCATGTGGTGTGGGTCAGGTGTTAGGTCAGACACGACGAGGATTAACTTGCCGCCGATACAAAGGGAAGGATTAACGTCTCCAGTAGCTGCAAAACCATGCAGTCTCGGGTCATATCAGTTCATGTACAGCCGACCAATCCACCAGTTACAAGCAATTCACTTCAGTTCTGCACAAGTCTCCATCGTGACAAGACGAGGGGAGGCTAGACGACTTTTAAGTTCTCTTGTGT